GCTTAAATCTTATTGGTTTGTTTGATTTTGTTTATTTCGTGGCTTGACGCTTTTCCTGTAAGCAAAAAATGAATGAACGGAGATTGAACGTCCCATAGTTGTTTGAGCGGTTTTTTGGATCCTGGCAGAGATTGTCATCATGTGTGGTTCTGGCGGGTCGCCAGTTTATGAGCTTCTTTGATGTTTCCTGAACTGGAGAGCTGGCGGGTCAAGTTAGCGGACATCTGCGGCTCTTCTTGAGTGTTGGGCTAAGACTGGGTTAAACAATTTAATTTAGTCGAAACGTTCCCCAAAGAGTGAAAATTAAGCAAAACATTGTTGCTTCACCTTCTCCTTCTTTGGACGCTTGACACCACCTGAACCTGGGAATCAACAGCCTCCTCATTCCGTGAATCACACGGGGAGGCTTCGCTTCCATGTCTGTATTATTTAGCACCGTTTGTATAAAAAAAATAAGTAAATGGGTACACTGTTTTAGTGGTTTAGGTTTGTGCTAGTTTTGTGCAACGTGCACATGATACGGTTGGAGAGGTGATTGTGCTCCTGCAGGGCAGGTGAAGTGATAGTTTAGTGCAGACCTTCTGATCTGTAGGACATTTTTTTTCGACATCTTCAGGTGTCATCCAATGGGTGAAAGAAAAGCAAACTGACCAATAAGATTTAGGCTTTGGCCTTCCCTTTGACCCCCACTGATGTGCGCTACTTACAAAATGTTTTGGACAAAAGATCTTTTTCTTCTCTCCACAATTTTGTTAATAGTAAAGAGGACTATTGTCAGAAGTCCCTAACATTAATATGATCAGGCAGCATGTAATCATATTTATACATATATATACTATTATTATAAAGGCTGAGCCAAGAAAATTTCTGTCTGTATCAACAAGTAGCCCTTCATGTTACTCTGTTCCCGTGAAGTAGCTCCCAGTCTCAAAAAGGTTGTGACCCCGGCTCTAGATTGTTCCTCTTTGGAGCCAAAAATAATGACTTCAGTTTTGTTTTTGTTCAGCTGGAGAAAGTTTTGGCATATCCACACATTTATCTGTTCTAAGCATTAATTCAGTGATTGGATGGGGTCAAAGGTCACCTGGTGACATCATAATGTAGAGCTGAGTATCATCTGCTTAGTTATGGTAGCTAATATTATTTCCTGTTATAACCTGAGCTAGTGGGAGAATATAATTATTGAATAGGAGGGTTCCTGGGATTGAACCTTGGGGTACCCCACATGTAACCTTTGACCTCTTTGATGAGAAGTTTCCAATTGAAACAAAGAAATCCCTGTTCTCTATGTAAGATTCAAACCAGTCGAGCACTGTCATGGTCGACAGTGTCAAAAGCTGAACTGAGGTCCAACAGAACCAGCACCGTGGTTCTCCCATAGTCAGTATTGATATGGATATCATTGAATACTTTGACTAGGCCAGTCTCTGTGCTGTGGTGAGCCTGAAAACCAGATTGGAAGGAATCAAAGCAGTTGGTCATCATGAGGAAACTATTTAATTGTTTACACACAGTTTTTTCAATAACTTTGCTGATGAATGGGAGGTTGGAGGTCAGAGGCCAGAAATCAGAGATTGGCCTGTAACTCTGTAGGAGTGATTTGTCCAAATTGTTCTTTTTTTAGCAGTGGTGTGATGACTGCTGTTTTTAAAGCCTGGGGGAAAACGCCTGATGTAAGCGATGAGTTACTATTTGGATCAGATCAGTAGCAATAATAGGCAGGACTTTCTGAAAGAAATGTGTGGATAGGACATCCAGACAGCAGGAGCTTGAACTTAATAGACTTATAATTTCTTCTAGGATTTTATAATTAAGTAGTTGAAAATGGGTCATTTTGTCTATATTTGTTTTGTTTGGGTACAATTAATCCTCTGATTTTTTTAAATTTTCTCTGAAAAGAAGCTGGAAAACTTGTTACAGGCAGCATTAGATTGGAGTTCAAGTGGTAACGTCATAGGAGGGTTTATATAAATACGATACCATCTCTTCAGACATCAGTAAATGTCTGATTTATCTATCAGATCAAATTTCTGAAGAAATCCTCTTACTGATCTGCAGACGGTCGGCCAGCTTTTCCTGCTTCATCCTCCTCAGGAAGTTCAGTGTGATCTTCATCACTGCCTCTCTGCTGCTCTTTCTCTGCTCTTCATCATCACCTTCCAACACTTTATCATCTCTCTGACTCTCTAAACGTTCTGGGTAATTTGGACTCAGAACTTTCTGGATTTTCTTCAGTTCATTCTTCACAAAAGTGACAATGTTGTCCTCCAGCAGCTGGAACAGAATAATAGATGAAGGAAACATCAAAGTGAAATCATGGAGCAAAACACCAAATGGATGTTGGACAGACTGACAGTCCTCTGGTCTACAACTTGCAGCATGAAGGTGACTTTGACCAGAATTCATGGAAAAGTATTTGTTGTTCATATACAGACCATAAATATGGAGTCCAGCTGTGTTTGATGCTGCTGGGCCGATGGACTCCTGGGAACCTCTGAGCTCTGCTGGTCCACTCTGTGCAGGAACCAGGAACAATTAGGCAGTCATGAAATATTCCTGGTTCATGAGAACAGTTTTCGTCCTGGTCGTGGAACACTGGACCAGCTTTACACCTCAGCAGGTCCTGGAGGGTGCATGGGAGTTCACCCAACCAGTCTACATGTGCTTTGTGGACTTGGAGAAGGCGTTCGACCATGTCCCTCGGGGTGCCCTGTGGGGGGTTCTCCGAGAGTATAGGGTACTGGGCCCTTTGATACAGGCTGTCAGGTCCCTGTATGACCGGTGTCAGAGTCTGGTCCGCATTGCCGGCAATAAGTCGGGCTCGTATATATATATATATAGGGTTGGACTCCGCCAGGGCTGCCCTTTGTCACCGATTTTGTTCATTACTTTTATGGACAGAATTTCTAGGCGCAGCCAGGGTGTTGAGGGGATCCGTTTTGGTGTAAAGCAACGAAATGTAGTTTGCATCTATCCAAATGTGCTATACAGGATATAAATATTTATAAAAGTTGTACAAGATATAAACATAAATATGAGAGTTATGCACATATTATACAAATTACACAGATTACATGGAATATACAGGAATATGAAGAATGGATAGTACATATATATATATAACGTTTCACACGTTGGATGATTGGTGAGTACCGAGGTGTGAGGAACAGGGAGAGATGGTCTGATTGTCCGATGTGGGGGAGGGGTGTCGCCTTGTAAGCTCCAGCCAGATTGGAGTAGACATGGTCCATGGTGTTGTCTCCTCTGGTGTGGCAGGAGACGTGTTGGTGGAATCTGGGAAGGACTGTCTTCAAGTTGGAGTGGTATAAGTCACCCGCAACAATAATCTAGCTTTGGACCTAGTTCTCATTCAATTTGTTTTTGATTGTGTCTTTGTTTGTTTGTTTGTTTGTTTGTTTGTTTGTTTGTTTGTTTGTTTGTTTTAGTACAATAAAATCCATCATTAAGTGTTGAAAAGGATAGCCAGATGGCGGATGTGCAACTTGTGTTTGTTTGAAAATGTGGTGGACTGTGTGCAGCACAAATGTGACGTAATTTGCAAAAATTTTCAGCTGCAACAGAGAACCCCTTAGTGAAGCCATGTTGTTTTACATAGAAACCTACACAGTTTAAACCTTTCTCTGATCTGGAGGGGAAACCAGAATCATGTCAGGATTAATTAGTGGGACGTCTGTCAGGTCTGGTCATGGCATGCAGACAATGTTTAAAACCAGTGGTTCTCAAAGTGTGGAGTGTGCCCCCTGTGTGTTTGTGTGTGTGTATATGTAACATAGTTAATATTGTACAGAATTCCACTTGTCTTTACTTCCAAGTTTGGGTTCAGATGTAATGGGTGAAACAGCACCCCCTCCTGGTGGTTGGCAACGTTGACAATAGTGAACATAGATATCTCGTTGCCAGTCATGAGAGATGGGCGCGAGGTAGGTTCACTGGGAACATTGTAACGGTCCTGTGGAATGTTCTGTTAGTTTGTTGCTAACATAAAATACTATTCCTCGTAAGGTGCTGTACTGCCGGTGATGAACCTGGTCCCTGATTATTTTATATCCTGTTTCATCCAGGTACATATTGTTTCATTTATTTATTGTTTTATTTCCTTGTAATTCTGTCTAATGTTAATGTATAAAATACGGCCGTTGGCCAGTTCATGAGAGATGGGCGCGAGGTGCTGTATTGCCGGTGATGAACCTGGTCCCTGATTATTTTATATCCTGTTTCATCCAGATAAACTTCATCTTGTATCATCCTGTCTCCTGGTCCATATTCACACAACGCAGAGTACTGACGAAAAGCCATAATAATTAAAAAGATTACATGTAGGTGTGTGTGTGTGGATGTGTGTGTGGGAGGGAGGCTTTTGGCGGAAGCAGTATGGGGAAAAAAACTTGAAGTGTGAAATAAACTTCAGTTTAGTTTGAAAACAAAATATGTGTATAGGTTGAACCAGTTGATTTATTTATTTATTTATTTCTGTTTTGGGGGGATTTTATTGTAATCCATAGGGGCTGGGGGGCGGAGCTTTCGGAACCACTGGGGATAGACGGGGCAGAAAATATTTGGGGCCACTGGTTTCAAACAATAGTGCTGTCATGTGGTTCACCATCTTCAGCAATAGGTATAACATTGGAACAGTTTTTTCAGGTTTAGGAAGTGCAATAGTCGGCACCTGAGAAAAAAAGCCGTTGAAGGGAAACCCTGCTCTATGTTAAAGAACTCTACTCACTCTGGAGTCCATGTGATTTCATCATTTTTTAAGTCCTTTCTATGGCTCAAAGTGAAAGGCGTTCAAAATGTCGATTTTTTTCTCTTTCTAAATAAAAATTTCCATCCTGAAGTCAAACTAAAATCTCAAATCCTCTAATTCAATGTTCACAATCAGTGGAGTGAAATAGTTTTACGTGTGGATGTTTTATCTCCTCCCCTTCACCTGGGGGCGCAGTTGTCTTCCTGCAGTACTTATTTTAGTGTTTCCGGGTCAGGCGGCGTCCTGGCTGTGTTGATGGTTGCACGCACGTGTTGTTTCTGTCTACATCGGTACCTTTGACCCAAACAGACGGAGTCAGTTCATCAGAACCAGCCAGGGAGTATCGGACAAATCTTGGAGACTTCCTGCAGCCATGGGCCCGGTGAGAAGACCTGCTAAAATTTGGAACAGATGCTGGTTTTGTGGGACCGAGCTGCTTACGTTTTGATTTACTACAGGTTGAAGTAAAAATGCAGACAGAAAAATTACTTTAAGCTTTATCTTGCGTTTTTTTAGTGCGCTATAAATCTTCTGTGCTAGCTGTAGGAACACAGCTCCACAGTCTCCAGGTCCACAGTCTTCTATTGCTGGCGACTACAAGACCAGAGATTCATTGTCAGGGTCACTGCCGTACTTGCAGTTTGAAGGCAGTGGTTTAAATCTGTCTGATCGTTGATGCTTTTTAATTGCTTCTTGGCAGTTCAGTCATATCCCTGCATTTAGAATACACCAAGTTGTGAAACACTATTTACAGATGTTTTACTTTTCTGTCAGACTTCCAATATTTGTTAACGAAAAAAAGATATCCAAATCAAGAAATCACTTGAAATCAACCTGCCAATCAGCATGAGGTCATGTAAAGGGTCTGGAAGAAAAACAACATGCCCCGATCTAAAGAAATAACAATAATAAAAAGAAAAATTCAAAGAAATGAAAGGCCAATTTGTTCTCGTCAGTGTGTGAATGTATGCATGTGTTTCTGCTGGGGGTGAAACTAGGATAGCTAGAAAAGTCAATTTACCATTAAAATAAGAAGAGATTGCCACAAGCATGGAAAAGAAAAAGTACAAAACATTTCATTTCCATTTGGGATAGGCCTAGACAATATGATTGAAAAAAGTATTACAGTACATAAGGATTTCATAATCAATATCAATAATTATTGATATATATTTTCTGTGAAATATTTGGTGGTTAAAAATGCACACTTCATTATGTAGTGCAGAATATTATATGTTTTTAATTTGTCTTTTTTAAGCTGAACACAAATATATTTTATTAGAGGCTTAAACAAAATCCATCCATTTTCTAATCACCCTTCTCCCTATTGGGGTCGGGAGTTGCTGGTGTCTATCTCCAGCTGAGTTCCGGGCGATCTGTCCAGGGTTCACCCTGGACAGATCGCCAGTCTGTCGCAGGGCAACACAGAGACAAACAGGACAAACAACCATCCACACTCACACCTAGGTTGAATTTGGAAAGACCAATTAACCTGACAGTCATGTTTTTGGACTGTGGGAGGAAGCTGGAGAACCCGGAGAGAACCCACGCATGCACAGGGAGAACATGCAAACTCTGTGCAGAAAGATCCCAGGCCGGGAATCGAACCAAGGCAACAGTGCTAACAACTGCGCCACTGTGCAGCCAAAAATCCTTTGATGATAAAGTTCATAGTGTGAAATTGTAAATATAATCAAGTTCTAACAAACTGCACATTTAGTAGCCAGGATAGATTCATTCATTTTTGAGAAGTAAATACATTAGTTGTTTTTAGTTAGAATCATCAGATGAACTGTAGATTGTGGAAAGGCTTACAGTAAACTGGTCAAACATTATTGGTAGCATGTCAGCTGAAATGGAAATGTTGTGTTCTATGCACCCGCCATGCACAGCTCCGCTCAAAGAAGCGCCGGCCAACATTTCGTCGGCTGTTGAAGACTAGTGGTATGAAACTTGAAAACAAACTGAAGAGCCGACAGCAGAAGCAGCAAAATGTGGCCAAGAAACAACGCAAGGAGCAGAAGAGGCTGCGGCAGGCCATGAAAGGTGCTGCGCTTCAGGTGCCCCAGGTGCTGGAGACATACAGAAAGAGACCAGGTGAGACATCCTGAAGCATGCAGTATACACACACAGCTGTCAGCAGTTGATGGGTCCATCAGTAAAGTCATTCTCAACTGTTTGACAGAGGAAGAGAATGAAGAGGAGGAGTTCCTGGAGACCCTGCCCTCGGACATGATGGATGAAGAAGACTTAAAGGAAATGACTGCCATGGCCAGAAAAGCATCCTTCATAACCAGAGATCTGTCGTCCTGGTAACATGCTCGTTGTCATAATATGTCTTAGTGAACTGGCAGTAACTAAAGTGTGTCTATTTTCTCCCAGCGGGTCGGTGCATAGCAGCAAGAGGAAGAACGCTGATGTGGTGCGCAGCTACGAGAAGATTCCAAGAAAGATGGCAAAGATGCAGGAGAAAGAGGTGATCCAACTCCTTCCAATCAAAGATAAAGACAGAGTGATTCCGAGGAGCATCGAAAGAGGTAACTTCTATGTTACTTACTATTTACAACTCACTTTGATTACTGCCGTCACCCGTGAAACTGTCTTGCTTTGTTTTTTGTAAGCGGTTAAACAACATCAGGAGGAGGAAGAGGAGGAGGAGCTTGCAGGGATGCCAGAGCAGGAGGAAGACGGTAGGAAAGAAAGCCTGCTGGTCTGTCAAAACTATCAGGTTTATTATCTTGGACATGATGGTCTGTGTAATAGCAACAATTGTCATTTTCCCAATGTCAGTGTTTTCATAAGTTTCCGCAAAATCAATCTGGCGTAAAAGAGAAGTTATGGTATACTAGAAAGATTAAGGGATGTACCAGAGATCCACATGGAGCTGCAGACCAACTGGTTTGACATAAATTTGATGTGCCTGTCATACTGTCTCCTGTGTAGATGGAGAGCCACCGAGCTACAAGGAGCTGACACCAGAGGAAAGAGAACAATTTAGAATTCAGACATTAAACATAAAGAAACAGCGCATCGCCAGCATGGCTTCAGCCATCATCTCAGATCCATTAAACAATGTAAGTGGAATGATGAAGGTAGGATGTAGAATTATTTTTGATTTTCATGAAAGCAAAAAGTTAATATAAGGAGAGTGAGAATAATTAATTGATGATGTTAGGTATTTTCTTAACCTACATAAAAAGACAAGGTTTTAGTTGAGTTTCAGTCTTTTGCAAAAGGAGAAGATATAGCAAACCACTTCTTCCAGGTGTTTACCATGCGTTCTGACTTTCTGCATCAGAACTGGTCTTTTATTACAAAAGATAGCGGGAATGGAATGTGGCTATTCTGAACAAAGAAAGAATACAGAAGCTAACATTCTACACACAGGCTGTTTAAGGCGTATCCCAAGATAAGACGTAGCTGCAGCTTCAAGGTTTAACAAAATCATCCTCTCTGGGGTGTGAATACTAAACCTATGAATGAGAAACAAACTAGTGAAACTATTAATGTAAGAATGATAACAAAACATAATTATTCTAACAGATGAAACATTATCTTAGCCAATTTCCTCCTCCAGGAAGGAACAACAGCCAAACAGAATGAAACACCAGGTCTAGCTTGCATGGAGCGACATAACTAAGGAAACGAAAAGTTATCAGTTGGAATTATCTCAAATGATGCCAATTAGAGAGGAGTAGAAGAAAAAGTGAGAGAAGTGGTCAGTAGTGGTCAACCAGTAGCTGTAGCATAACTACAGAAATAACTCAGGATAACCTAAACCATATAGCTAATTTTGACAATAAGTTATCTTGTCAAAATTGGTTCAAGCATGCTTTTAGTATGCTTCCTATATATTTATAGGTACTTAATACTTGGTATACTTAAAATGTACTTACCAAAAGGTAGAAATAAAATTACTCCCTGAGATTCAGAGGAATTTAACCATGGAATAGATTCTTAAAGATTTTAAAAGCATCATCTGATAAAAATCTTCTGTCAGGATTGGATTAAAATAAACTCAAAGGTTTTCAAAAAATGATCAGGCAGCAGAGGTTTATGGGGAAGTACCATTATTTCCTCACACTCATGTCAGTCAGCTCAAAGCGTAGAGCATGACCCTGGGGTAGGAGTGAATTCTTTGAGTGAAGCCAGTTGAGTCTAGAATAAACATTAAAGGCTACATTTAGACTGTCAACCTCAGTGTCAGTTAGTGGAGACGACAGTATTATTAATTAGAATTTATCAAGTCAGCAATATATCAAAATTGTTATGACAAATTTTTCACAATACTTGATAAGCGACATGATACACACCCACATTTTGTGTTGGTGGTACTTCCTGCAGATGAAGCGTGTGAAAGAACTGCGGGGGATGATGATGGAGGTTGACCCCAGCGTGGCGGTCTCAGTGAGGAAAATGGTGATGGTTTCTCTCATGGAGGTCTTCAAAGACATCGCCCCCACCTACAGGATACGACCCCTGACCTCTGCAGAGAAGAACACCAAGGTCACCTGGGCTCCATCTGTGTGTTCAGTGACTGTTGGAGCAGGTTTTAACAGCTGCTGTATCTCTGTTGTCCTGCAGGTGAAGAAAGAGACGCAGCAGCTTAGAGAGTTTGAGGAAAGTCTTGTCAGTCAGTACAAGTTCTATCTGGAGGATTTGGAACAGACGATTAAAGGTACATCATTGCAACACATACACACACGCACACACACTTCTCACAGTCTGTCTTCGTCCCCAGACTGGAAGCAGAAGAAGAGGAAACGCAGTCAGGTAGTGAGCTTCCAGTCATACCGTGGCCTGGCTGAGGTCTCAGTTCGTTGCCTGTGTGAGCTGCTGCTCTCTATGCCACACTTCAACTTCCACAACAACATCATTGTCATCTTGGTTCCTCTGATGAATGACCCCCTCAAGAAGGTTAGATATTTCAGAGCTGTGCTGCTGAGACTGAGCATCCTGTATGTCTTTTGATGTAGATTAGACCGGACAGGTCAGCAGATAATGGGTTCATGGATCCATCCTTGTTGCAGGTGTCAGACATGTGCTGTGATGCATTCAGGAAGCTCTTTCAGGAAGACAGAGTAGGCGGGGCATCACTGGCCACAGTGCGGGTCATCTCTGGCCTCACCAAAAGCCTCAACTACAATGTCAGACCTGAGGTAACAAATAAGATGTTCCTTAACCTTGTGTTGATCTATACAATTATGACTTTTTGCACTTCTTGACACCTTCTTTCACCTTGGTTCTTCTCCTGCTTATCAACAGATGCTTCGAACTTTGCTGAATCTGAGGATCAAGGAGGTGGAGATGAAGAAGGACCTGGAGGCCACAGCACCAAAGACCAAGTTTATGACAAACAAAGAGAAGAAGAAAAACTTATCCAGGATGCAGAGGAAGGTAAATAAAATACTCAGCTGGAGCACAAGTAGAGCTTGTTTTTTAAAATTTGTTTTAGTTTTATGCAAACAAAGACATATAGTCTGACAAACAGATCCATTGAGTTCCAAGTTTGTGACAAAGCTGCTTCCCCCTCACAAAGCTCTTTCCCATCACAAGTGTGTCAGTCTTTCAGATCTGTGGGTAGATCTACCATAACAAATGTGCTTGAACTATTCTGCAGTGTAAATAAGAATCAAACAGGAAAATAAAATGTTCCTTTGGTTCTCCCCAACTGTTTTTATAGATCATCTGAGAGAGAAAAGGAATATAAGCAAATGCTCATTAGTTCTTTTATCCTTACTGACCGCCAGAGGGTGGTGCTGAAAGCACTGAATGTTCCCTTCGTACATGCACTGTTCGAGCAATAATAACAGAGTCACACCTGTGACATCGGATGATCAATCAGAGCCTATATAGCATGACGTCATCCAATGCTATACAGGAATACCAGTTCCTACAGAATCTTCTCGCGAAATGCAAGAATTCTGAGTGACAGAGAATCTCTGGCGGTCGTCCGGGATTCATAGAACCATACGTAACTTTTGTTTTATATCACTGAATCCATATTGGGCCAGTAAGAAGTAAAAACAAGGGTGTGTATTTATTTTAATATCTTTTGGGAACCATTTTTCTGACACATACAGTGGGTTGTGGGGACCCATTTCTCCACACTGTGTCAGGGATTAGATTTAGGACTAAGGTGTGAATTGAGTTTTGGTTAGGGTTAGGTCTGTAATGGTTAGGGTTAAGATAAGGGCTTATCCTTATGAACGGAAGTCACCGGAAAGTCCCCACAAAGATAGGTTGAGAGTAAACGTGTGTGTGGGTGCGTGTGTGTGTGTGTGCGTGTGCGTGTGTGTCACACAGTGGAAGAAAGCAGAAGAGAAGCTGGAAAAGGAGCTTCTAGAGGCTGAAGCTTCAGAAAGCAAAGAGAAGAAGACCAAACTGGTAAGATTTGGTTCCAAAATTAAAATGAGAGGACAGAGTACAGATAAAGGCTAACATCCTCATCCTCCCTCTTCTTCATCTGCAGCACACAGAGACTCTAAACATCGTCTTCCTCATCTACTTCAGGATTCTGAAGAAAGCTCAGCGCTCAGTTCTCCTCTCTGCTGTCCTGGAAGGACTGGCTAAGTAAGACACTCTCTGGATGACAACAATGTTACAGTACCTTTGAAGGAATAACCATGATGCCACTACCCTCCAGTTTTGCTCACCTGATCAACCTGGAATTCTTTGATGACCTGCTGAATGTGCTGCAGAACCTCATCCAATCAGGAGTAAGTATGCCACCCCTAAAGAGTGGTCTGCATCTCAATATTTTAATTGATACCATTGATCTGTGCAGAATCTGACCAATCGGGAGAGTCTCCACTGCATCCAGACAGTTTTTACCATCCTGTCTGGACAAGGTAGGATTGTTCTTGAAACGTTGTAATACCAGTCCACAGCGTTCTGCAAGGCTTGTCTGCATTCAGTAGAACTGGAAGAAAGAAATATTCAAGTTTAATGACTTTGCTCTGTGGTTTACAAGAACAGCATCTTGGTTATGTAGTCTAAGCAGGTGAGTTGGTGACTCTACAAGGACAGCTTGTCTCATCCTCACTTTGCCCCTTTTAATCAGAATCAAAATGCTTTATTGGTATTATACAAAACATAATTTTATTCCAGTACATCCAAACCAAAAACAGACAAATAAACAAACAAAACAAGGAATATAGGTGACCAGGGCTGGAGCCCTTTGCATTGGATCAAAAAATGAAAAGATGAGGTGAATACAAAAAAACATAACTCAAACTGTCTCCACAGTAAGGGCAGAATCTGAGGTTACAAAAAAGGTTGCATTTGAGACAATACAGGTAACTACAGAATTCTCGTCTAGACCAATTCTCCATTAAGCACTGTATTTAGAAAAGATCCCTAAAAATATTGTCTCCACAGTAAGGGAGAGGTTACAAAAAGGTTGCATTAAAAAAAGCAACAAGTAGACAGGAGTGAAGCCAGCAAAGGCAGTGAGTTTGAGGGGTATGCGTTTCTAATCATGAAGAATGAAAGTCAGTGTAAGAGTGCAGGAAGCTCCTGAACACTGCCCCAGAGAGCAGGAAGAGACAAATTTATAACTGCTTTTTTGTTTAGATCAGTTCTAAACCTAGATTCATATTGGTGTGGAGGTAAATATTTCTGTTTTTGTGGTCCAGGTGACGCCCTGAACATCGATCCTCTAAACTTCTACTCTCAGCTTTACAAAATTCTGCTTTTTCACATTCTCTAAATTCTAAACTTTCCTAAATTACCAATCACACAGATTTGATCACACAAGTCAAAATGTCTGCGTTTCACATTTTGGCTATCTCAGGGGCACCCAATAATGACATCATCATTGTGCTGCGGTGTCTGGACGCCATGCTGACTCGTCGCAGAAAGCAGGTAACCCTGCAGAGAGCCATGGCCTTCTTCAAACGACTGAGTGTGCTCAGTCTACACGTCCTGCCCAATGCCAGCATTGGAATTCTTGCAGCAAACCGAGCTACCATGCACGTGAGTCTTTCAAGCCTTCTAAATGAACCTGGCTCTTTTTAGTTCATGGAAAAGATTGCCAAATTTCTACCTTTTTGTCAAAACTCATTTTGTTCTGTTTCATTTGACAGTCATTCCCCAAATGCGACTTCCTTTTGGATAACGAAATTCAGGGCAGTGGCTTCTACCTGATGGAATTAGATGAACCTGAATATTGCAATGCTCAGAACACTGCACTCTGGGAGCTCCACACACTGCAGGTATACACACACATCAGGCTCAGAAATGGGATTTTAGCCAGTTTGGCTTGCAAAAGAAACTTTCACAGTTTAAACTAAATTGTGAAACTCAAATGTTACAATTCAGGTAATAATACAGAATTCTCGTCTAGACCAATTCTCCATTAAGCACTGTATTTAGAAAAGATGCCCATGTGTATGTTTGTGTTTATGTGTATCTTATACATTGCGCCATCTTCCCAGGTTGAGAGCCAGCCTGGGAGTTCTCCTCTTGCCTCACACGCCTGACTTCAACATGTTTGTGTTGCTGTTTTTTCAGAGACATTTCCACCCGGTTGTACGGCGGTTTGCGGGTTATTTGAGTCATGGAGCGCCGAGTGATGGCTCGGCAGCACTCAGTATGGAGCTCAGCCGCAGGTGAAACACTTTCAGTTACAAGCAGACCTGGAAGGCATATAAAATTACATTCAGCAACAGCATGGCCTGGTCAGCTGCATTAAAAGACGTCTTCACCTTTTCAGGTCTCCACTGGAGCTGTTTGAAGACTACAGTGTCAAAGATATGACCTTTAACCCTCCTGTGGCTTCACCCACATCCAAGAAGAAGGTGAGAAAGTCCTGGTCACCTGCATCCATGTTTTTATTCTGATTCTCATTTCTTCATGTTGTGTGTGTGTTTGTGTTTACCTACATACTGGGCTCAATTTCTTACTTTTCAGGATCAGTTTGTGGTCGGAACGGCGCTGCTAGATGACAGGCTGCAGAAACAAGCAGATAGCATCCTGAGTGATACACGCATGGACTTCACTGCAACACGCCTCTGAGACGCTTACACTCTCACATCGAGGATCTGCTTAAAAAGATAAACAGATTCCTTTTTATTCAAAACAGCTTGAGGTGGCGTAGAACAGGACACATGACCTGGAGTTGCTTTGTGATTGAGACTGTTGAAACCTATAGCACATAACAGTGGTGAAGTAAAATATTCCCAGCACATCTCTGGTCTTACAAGTCTTACAAGATCATTTTCATGTTTCAAACCGGACTAATAAAAGTACCCATCAACCAGTTTCTTTGTGTTTCCTGAAGAAAAGACGCGGCTCAGAGGAGAGACACTTTATGGTCCTGAAAATATCCAGTTTTAGTTGTAAAGTTCCTTCCAGCAAACTTGTTACTTTACCTAGTCGGTGCCTCCACATTGTCTCTGCCTTTAAAATGTTCTGCTTTTCTTCAAACACTCACTTTTAACTTTACAGGGATGGAAAGTTACAGCATTGTTTTCAGGATTTATTCCTGAAATACATCCAACCAAAGAACATGTTTAGATTATGAGTCTGACTTCCACTCCTGAAGCTGGTTTCTTAAAGCTTGTTCAGACAGATTCTTGTTTGTCTTTCATTTTTGTTGCTAAGTTTCTTTTTTTATCTAGCAAACTGAGTTGCATTTCATGTTCTTTCACAGGTGCAGTGTTTGTTTGCCATCATATGTTTCAGCTGGCAGTCCTCTGCTTGGAGTTATGTTTTATTTCTTTTAACGTCTCACAGTTTAATGCTTCATAGCATTAAACTGAATTCAGATTAAAAAAAAATTAACTCTCTTAAAGTGATTCTGTTTTTATTTTTTGGCTAATTAGAATATGTTTTCACAATTTTGTGTGTTGAGTATTATATTTCCTCGCTCCTAAATGTTCCACAGTCAACTGTGAGACTCATGTTGTAAGAAAATGGAAGTGTTTGGTAACGACAGTAACTCAGCCTGGTAGGGAATGCAAACTGATGGAGCTGATGCTGAAGCACATAGTGTGAAGAGGTCGGCAACTTTCTGCAGTCAAGGTTGGCTACATGAAGGCTAAATGTGACCTTCAGATTAGCTCAAGAACAATGCACAAAGAGCTATTATTATTATTAGAGTAGCGACAGTAAAACAGGCAGGGACTTAAGGCGAGCTTACTGGGAATTCCTCGTTGATGGGAGGAATTTTAGGATTCATTCATTTATCATTTCTAATGAACACCAAGGTCACCTGGGCTCCATCTGTGTGTTCAGTGACTGTTGGAGCAGGTTTTAACAGCTGCTGTAACTATTGTGCAGAAAATGCAGAAAATTTAGCCATTTTCTGCATTTTTTTTTATTCAGGCATACTAAGTCCATTGGTATTGGACTTAGTATGAATGTGCTGAAGATTTCAATCTTGTTCATTATCCTGGATGTTACATTAAACAAGGTTAATAAATACTAGTATGTTAATGGAATCAATAAAACAACAAATTAATATGAAGTTGGAAAAGTATTGTCTATTTGGCTATTGTGGCTCTAACATTAACGCTACACTCTGCCTCCTTCAGAGGAAGCAAATTGCATCAGCCCACAGTGTATGTTAAGATGCTTTGTCCCAGAAATGTTTTCATTTCTTTCTTGCAAAAATTATCTGCTGATCTAATTGCTATTCATCTGCTTAACCTTATAAACCTCAGCATGACCCATTGAGCAATCATACAATAATATTTGTATGTAAGAAAGATTGAAATGAGGACTTAGTCCTGATCTCAGTACTAAATGTTACTTTTATTCCAACAGAAATTTAAATAAAATGAAAACAATACTTACTGGTCTTTTACTTTCTTAAATGTGCTGTGTGTTGATGTCAGTTATGTCTGACTAATCAGTGGACATTTGCATTGTGTGATTTGAATCTGATTGATTTAACTTAAAAGTGGCTGTGAGTGGAAAGCCCTCCAGGGTGTGAACAGTTCATGTTATTTTGGTGGGTAGACAATCCGCAACCGATACATAAAGAACATGATGCTGCTTACAAGTTCAGTAGACTCAAAATGTCATGCGTTAACACATATTACTCATCAACAGTACGACAACTTGTGTGTTGTATGTGCCTTCTATTGAAGGGGCAGTACTGTGTTTTCCAGCTACTTCAAAATAAATGATAATTAAAATAAGCAAGTAATATATTCAGTGGCAACTTCTGACATGGGCAACATCCCAGGGCAGCATATTGTGGGATGAAGCATGAGGGCCTGCATGCCCTCACCCCCCTCAGAGCCACCTCCACTCTACTCCCCATCCCCCACCTCTCACAACCAGAGAATCAACAGTGCCTAATGCAATAAATGCTCTGCATTAGATTTGATTCCTGCTGCACCTGTCTCCGTCGCCTTGGCTACTGGTGGTGGTCAATCCAGCAAGCTTGCCATCATGTGTGCATGGACAAAAATAACTCATTTTAGTTAAACACTATGATGATTTTGTAGCAAATCAAGTAAAAATTTTATTTAAATGTATATATTTTAAACCAGTAAATCGAGACATCATGATGTCATTTGATTTGTCTATGATGTGTGCTGCTGCTTTTCTTGTCCAGGTTATCCTTGTGAAAGAAATCTTGATTTCTACTGGACTTACATGAAGTGACAGCAAGCTATAGAGTGAATGTTTTGATTTATTTTTAAACAGCACATTGAGGCAGATAAGCTCATTTAAATTTTATTCATCATTCATATTGGAAAATATGAAATTTATAAAACTTGATCGCAGAAATGCTAAACATAAATAAAACTGAGCGCTGAGACCAACCTCTGTACAGAACGATGTTGCAACTGAGAACATAGCAGTTTCCTTGGCAACTGATGTGCTTTACTGTGGAAAGTGAAGAAGAAGAGTACTGTTTTCTTCTGAGACAGCTGACTCTGGGCAGTTCATGCATAGCAACACTTATGCAACTTCAAGTATCGCTGGTCGGCATACCTCTTCCCACACCTGTCACAGATGAACTGCTTGCCTCCAGCATGTACATGCCTCTTATGTGTCCTCAGGTGGCTTCCCTGGCTGAAGGTCTTGCCACATATTTCACAGGCATACGGCTTCTCTCCAGTGTGAATGCGCAGGTGAAGCTTGAGGCTGTTGGCATTGTTGAATTTTTTATCACAGGTCGGGCATTGAAAGGGCCTGTCTGTGGAGTGAGTGCGGCTGTGGGAGATCAGGCTGCTCTGCTGGCTGAATGTTTTTCCACACTGCTGGCAACTGAAGGGCCGCTCGCCAGTGTGGATGCGGCCATGAATCTTCAGATTCACCGCCTGTCGAAACGTCTTTCCGCAGAGGTCACACCTGTAGGGCCTCAGGTCGCTGTGGATCCTCTGGTGGTTCTTGAGGTTGACGGCATGCCTGAACAATTTGGGGCATTGCTCACATTTGAAGGGCTTCTGGCCGCTGTGGATGAGCTGGTGTGTTTTGAGTGTAACGGCGCGGGTGAAGCCCTTACCACAGTCATTGCAGATAAAGACCTTCTCCCTATTGTGGGTGACACTGTGGCGGTGTAGATTCTGTGGAAGGTTAAAGCGACGGCCACACACATCACAGCTGTATGGCTTTTCTCCAGTGTGTATGACAGTGTGTGTCTTGAGCTGTGCCTGCTTTGAAAACCGTTTTCCACACACAGGACACTGGAACGGGCGATCGCCAGTGTGTGTTCGCATGTGGCTCTGCATGCTTTGGCGCTGGCGGAAGGCTCGGCTACAGATGCTGCAGGCAAATGGCTTCTCCCCTGTGTGGATGAGTTGGTGAGACTTTAGGTTGCTTTGAGATGAGAAGAACTTCCCGCAGACAGAGCATGAGAACAACTTTTGGGAGGTCTCAGAGAGAACAGAACACTCTGAAGGTAGTGGCTGTGGGTCTGATGGTGGAGATGAAGCACTTTCAACCCAAGCTCCTGAGAGAAAACACAAAAATCAATATTCAACAGAGGCATCATCTGAACTGACCAACGATTCTGGAGAATGACTCATTTCAGATTAAATCTGGACCTGAACCAGTGTCACTGCTTTCATTGTAAAATATAGTGTGTGTAAAATAAGTACTGAGCACATAACAATTATTTTGCACACACTGTAAAAAAAAGACATCATATTTCTCCCTCATTATCTAAGAAGAAATCTAATTATATGGTTCGTAAACTCAAACATTCCCAGACAAAAGCTTTTGTGAAAAATAAAACTCATTTCAATCTCATCATGAATATTCAAGGTTAATTGTATTTACACTGACTTCAATAATAAATTCCAATTCTGTCTAAGAAATTGCTAATCTGACTGTTTTTGTAGTATCACTCACATTCATTCATTAAAGTCATAGAATCAGAGCATTTGCTCCTTCCAGTGTCTAAGAAAATAATCGTACAAAATATTTTTTAATGCTTGCATTAAAAAATATTGAAATAATTTTCATAATCTAATGGGAAAAGTTTAGTGTGATTTAGTTAACCACTATGAAATAATAGTTTGTGTATTTTTATACAGTATGTATGTGGATTCATCAGTACTTTAAAACAAACCTGTACAATCACTCCAGATATCAGTAACAGCGGAAATAATTCACACACGCAAAGAAATTAACACAAAACATTACAGATTCATTTTGTGTACAAACAGAAGTTTTTTTTTCTTTCTGTTTGTTTTTAGTCACACTTGATTTTTTTAGTTCAAACATGCCATCATATCAGGCACATAAACTGAGGACATTTTTACATTTACAATTTTACCAATTCAGGGAAAAAGCTAAAAAGAAAAAGAAAAAAGACACAAACGACTTGGCCCTGTAGTAAAAAGTACTGCTCCCTTTAGAGCTTGTCCAGCAACATAAAACATTCCTTGCAAATTGATTATATTTAAAATGTTCACTCACACAGTTTCAGGGAAAGACAATTCAATGATTTTTTTTTTTTTTTACAACTAATGTACTTTTTTATTTTTTTGCTGGATTTTGTGTGCTATAGTTGTTAAAATGTGCAAGTCTTTCTGGAAATTGTCACTTTTAAGAGTTCTTTATGGTGTTAAATGCTGGTTGCTGTTCTCAACAAAATTATCAGAGGATTTTATCAGTTGCTTTGATCAAGAAAGTAAACCAAATCCCAGAAATCTATTTCTCCCGATTTCTAAAATAATTCAGCCTAATTCAAAGTGAAAGTCTGGCTGGGAGATTTGCAGGCTGATCAGGCTGACTGGCCAATCAGCTGAAGCAGGGTTTGATGTCCAGAAGGTTGTCAGTTAGAGAATGACATTTCAGCACTGACGTTTCTTGTCATTTCTTTGGGGTTTAGGAAGTGGAATACCTTCATATGTCGCAATCACCCCAGCAGACTCAGTTGCAGTGTTTTGTTGTTTCCATAACTCTGATGAGGATGTGACTCAAACACAAACTTTGCTGCTCTTGTTTGTCTGAAACTAAAATGGCCGTGGCGCATGTGCAGTAAACTATTCTAAATTTAGCATTTTGACATAATTTTTATGTCATAGGGCCAAGCCGAAGGAGGCAGGGTCGAATGGGACCAGACTAGTCCCTGCAGTAAGCCTCTGACATTTAATCAGATTAATTTAAGTCAAATAAGCAAACTCATTAGATGCTTCCAGAGTGATACCTTGGAAGAGAAATCTTTTAGTAGGCCACCAGTTAGAACTAAATCCAAGTTATAGATTGATCTGTGTTATTTCTTTGTGTGGTGTTACTGACATCATGTGACAGTGTTATGCATTTACACCATATTTAGAGAAAAATGCTGACATGTTCAATTTTCATTTTCTAGCAGATAAGAATCAGGTTCTCACTCTCTCTAATGGCTTCCAGGTCAACGTTCCCATGTCCATCTTTAACGCTGACCACTGGAACAAACTGTGTCTCCACAGCATCACCACCTGCTTTCAGCTGGAGTGACCCAACATCCAGATGTCAGTAAGGTCGATGAAGGCAACACAGACATGAAAAGGTGAGATATACTTACCTGAGCTTCTCTTTCTGCCTTACAGTTTTGGTTTCTGACTCCATATGAGTGCTCAAGCTCTGCTGGGAACAAATAACAGAATTTAGAGGAACTTGAAATCCCATCAAATTTAAAGCTGCTGGCATCCAAACTATTGACATAATAACTCTCCATCATAACTCTCCATCTTCTTTGATTTGTGTGTGACATTGTTGGGGGCATTTCCTGTGTTCATACCCACGGATGTGTGGCTGAGGACGTTGAGGACGCTGGTCTGTGATTTCTTACAGACATGCCCCACCTGAGCCACAAGCCTGGCTTCATCCATGATGTTCAGGATCCTCCCCAGAGCCTCGTTTCCCAGAGTTTCCATGATGGAGGCAAACTGCACCTATCAAAATATATCAAATATATTTTGGGGATATACTGAGGGGATCTGAAAACATTTGTGACTCATTTTAAAACAAACATTGAAAATATTTTATGGGGGTTTTGTGGTAGCAGTTTATGAGATGTTGTTCTCATTACGTCTTTGAACTTTTACAGTGTAAACTTGCCAGCTCTTTAGACTTAGACTTAGACTTGACTTTATTGATCCCTTGGGAAGACTCCCTCAGGAAATTATAGTTACCAGCAGCTCACAGGCAAAAATGTGGCACACAGTAAGCATACACAAAATACAAAAAAATACAAATTAAATACAAAACAAAGAATATAAATACAACACAAAAGGAAATTATAGCAATTTGGTCGATAGATTGACCAGTGATATGGTATTGCACTGTATGGTTTGGCCTGATAAATATGGAGTTCACATTTGTAGAAAAACTACTCCTTCTTCCCTCTGTCCTGTGTCACCTCCGACCCCCCAGTGAGGAGTTGTACAGTCTGAAGGCGTGGGGGACAAAGGAGTTCTTGAATCTATTGGTCCGGCACTTGGGAAGCAGCAGTCTGTCACTGAACAGGCTCCTCTGGCTGCTGATGACGGCGTGTAGAGGGTGGCTGCTATCGTCCATGATGTCCAGCAGTTTGTTCAGTGTCCTCGCCTCTGCCACCGTCACCAGAGAGTCCAGCTTCATGCCGACCACAGAGCCGGCACGCCTGATCAGTTTGTCCAGTCTGGACAAACTTAAAGCTGTGGTTCACCATCTTTCTCACAGTTTGGAAGGTAGTTTGGATGCTAGCAGCCTTAAGTTTGATGGGATTTCAAGTTTCTCTAAATACTGTAAATCTTGCATTGCATTACAACATCCTCTCAAATGCTGTATCTTGAAATCTTGAAAATGCTGGATTCATGCAGCATTTTTCCATCCTCAGCTTTAATCAAGCCTTTATCCAAATAAGCTCCAGAAACTTTAGTTTCATTTCCAAAGTGCTCCTTTAATAGTTGTTTAGTTTCTCTGTAGCCGTTATTTCCTTCCATATGTAAACAGCTGCGAACCAAATCTCTTGGCAAACCAGATGTAAATTGTTCAAGATAGAACAGTCTGTCTGTCATTTTTAGTTTTGCCTTTTGTCCATGTTTGAATGCATGAACAATCCTAACATGTTTATTTGTTTATTCTTCAAATATTAAACATATTGTGTTTTACAGTTCTGTGTATGCTCTCAAATAAAACAATATCGTGAGTCTGACGTTCTACGATTTACTCAGAAGCATTTAACATCAAAGAACTCACGCTAATTATCCATTAGTAGCAGCTTATAGCTCCTTACCAACTTCTCACGGGTCTCCTCCTGCACTCTTCCCGTCTCATGCCGCTCCTCTGTGCTGCCTCGGGCCTTGGGAAGCTCCTTGTCCTTCTCCAGCCGTTCCAGTTCCGCGACCGCAGCTTGGACCAGAGCTTCCATGACGGCGGCAAGCTGAGTGTGCAGAGACACGGTGGAGCTCATGGCGACCGCCTTTCTGTGGCGTCAGTGACTCCAGAGGAGCAGGTTTAACTGGAGGAAAAGCTGAGAATTCACTGACCTGAGAGGAAACCAGTGAATTAAAACAGCAGTTCTAATTCTATAACAAAACAACAAAACTCTTCTCTGAATAGAACAGCTTCCGTTTCAGTGTGTATGTTTTTCTTCTTCTATGACGTTTTATTGGCAGTTTACATTTTTGTGTACTACTGCCATCAACTGGACTGAGGTGTAATCCATTACGCCTCAGTAATTTGTGGATTTGTGGATAGATAAGGGTATCTTCAACATCCTTAACTAACTAACTAAATGAATAAATAAATAAATAAATCTGTTTAACTTTGTGTCTTTTAAATACTTTGTAGATATTTGAATTATAACACTGTGATTAGTCTTCACTAATATATTAAACATTTGTTATTGAAATTTCCATTGTCTTTTACATTTTCTATTTTTCTCTTAAATATTTTCTACATTTCATCAAAATATGTTCCACTCCTTTTTCTCCACAATGAAAACAAGCCCCTAATGAATGCTGTCTAATTATTTTTAACAAGTTTACTGTAGCCTTTTTCTTCTTCTTTTTCAGCAGCTTTTGGCAATTAATCAAGGTTTTGGAATAAAATTGGCATTTGGACAATTCCATGATGTTCAGTGACTGAGTTTTTCCTCAGTCACTTTTTGGATTCCTCAGAACAGAATTAAAGTGTTCAAAACTACAAATCTATGAGTCACTTAAGCACATACAAAACAGTCTCCTGTTCATTTGAATAAATAGCATATGCTTTTGTACATCATGCAAGTGACTGTGAACAATTCTTTGCTTTTTCCAGTAGTACAAGATGTTCAGAGCTCAGAGACATGGTCAAGGTCAGGAAGGCTGAACAAAACACATAAGATGAAACATCAAAACTGGGCCAAGACAGATCTGAAGACAGACCTTTCAAAGGTTTTATGGACTGATCAGATGAGAGTGACTCTTGATGAAGCAGGTGGATGGACCTGTGTGCACAGAGCTCCACTTTGAATCAGACACTAGCGAGGCAGAGGCAGGTACTGGTATGGACTGCTATTATTAAACATGAGCTAGTTGGACCTTTTCAGGTTGAAGATGGACTCAAAATGAACTCCAAAGCCACTGCCAGTTTTAGAAGACACTTTGTTCAAGAAGTGGTATCGGAAAAAGTCTGCATCTTTCAAGAAGACCATGATTTTTATGCAGGACAATGCTTCATCGCATACATGAAGTACTCCTCGATGTGGCTAGCCAGTAAAGGCCTTAAAGATGACAGAATAATGAAGACCTAAACCTCATTGAAAACCTGTGGGTCTTTCTTAAAAGAGAGCAGGAAAACTTCACAGGCTGTGTGAGGCTGTGGTTGCTGCTGCACAAAAAGATCATCAACAGATCAACAAATTGACAGACTTGAAAAAAAAGTGGCTTTATTGGCCACTGATTTATTTTTTAAAAGTTAGAAATATTTATTTATCAATTTTGAGTTGTATGCTATTATTCTCACTTTATCAGATGAGAACAAAGAGGTGAGATGAGAACATTTTCAGTTTCAATTCGGTTGCATGATAATTTTGCGAACTAATAGATGCCCAGCAATCTTGCACACATAGATATTGTCACTTTTATTTTCCTAACTATTCAGATTTGAGAGGTTAATATTTTGAAATTGACTGAGAGTGCAGTAGTTGTTCAACAATCATACTAGTCCTCATAACTACAACTTGCATAATAATTATGTACAAAGTGTATACCAATGGGTTTAAAAAAGTTCCATACAACAAAAAACTTTATTTCTGTTTTTGAGACAAGAATCACATTCCACTTGATGACATAAACTTCTGGAAAATTCAATGGCGTGATTCATCACATGGCAGCCAGCATTCAGCTGGCACTCTTACTTTAAAAAACAAAGTTGATGGTGACGTCCTTTTGAATAAGTATGATTCTCAGGGACACTTTGTATTCATGATATTATCATATTGCAATAAAAATTTGATTAAGGCATACTTTTTTCACATGCATGTAAACACTGAAAGTGTTTCATTGAAATATACTTAGACACTACTTACAAAGTACTTACAGACATTATTGAAATGTACTTATTTAAAACAAACAGAAACTATTTGAAAATAGTCACAAAAGTACAACTTCAGATAAGTATTGTTTATATGCATTTGTAATATATTTTTAAAATGTACATTTAAAATATGCATTTTTACAAATATATGCAAAGTAAACGGATTACCCAAACTATAATTTTAGTTATAAATTTAGAATTTAAATTATATTTGAGAAAAAAACATACTTTTCAAAAGTGCAACAAAATAAATTTTTTAAAAGAGAGTTAGAAGCATGGTCTTAAAATGTATTCATTTGACATTTTTAATATTTTAACATATTCCCTCATAAAATATTAAAAATGTATTTGAGAAGCAAAAGGGCATATTTAACATAGTCATTTTTTTTTCCAAAAAAAGCGCAGGTGATTGCTATGCAGCTGAAGCCAGTTTACGTACAACAAACATAAAAACATTTGGAGACACATTGTTACCATGACAACATTACCTTAGACCACATTTCTCACCTCCACATCTTCTCAGTGCATCTCTTCAGCAGGGTCAGGGAAGAAGGACGGAGTCGAATACAGGACAATGTTTGAAGAAAACCTGTTGGAGTTTGCAAAAGACTGGAGACTGGGGAGTTTTACCTTCCATTGATGGACCCTTTTAGACACTGCATGAAATAGGATTAGTGGAAAAAGGCAGGCAGGAATCATTACAGAGCAGGTTCTTCCCACTAAATACAAGGCAAACCATTTAAGTGCCATACCGAGAATGCCAACATTGTGACTTAGGCATAACAGCAGGACTGGGCAAGTTTTACCATCTGTCTAAGAACTGAAGGTGAAAAAAAGCCTTCTGGCTAACTTTGGCATGTTTACAGAAATCTTAGTAATATGCACTGTGCCTGTAATAAAAATAAATCAATTTTAATTATTTAATGATCCACTGTATCAAGTCCTAGTCAGGTAACGACAACTCCAGCATCCACAGACTGTGCAGCCTCAGTCCAAAAACATGACAGTCGAGTAGACTGGTCTCTCTAAATTCTTCTTGGGTGAGTTTGAACATGATTGTTTGTCCTGCCTGTCTCTGTGTTGCCGAGTGATGGGCAGGTGACCTGTCCAGGGTGACCCCACCTTTTGCCCATTGACCACTGTAGGTATGCATCAGCACCCCTCATGACCCCACTAGGGAGAAGGGCATAAGATGATGGATAAGCAATATAATCATATTAAGAGAACTTTATCAACATGCCAGCTAGTTTTTGGACTGCTCTGAACCATTTCATGAGTTAACCAGGATGATTTACTCTCAGAATGAGTCTAGATGACGTAGTTAGGGATAATACAGTAGGATTTTATTTCATGAGTTCTTTTATTGTTCCTCAGACATCATTCTGTGTCCTTGCTGTGTTGCTGCTCCCTCCACTCCATGATAAGGCGGTGAGCAACAGCGTGTTTGGGAGGCAGCCAGACAGCGGGTCGATGATCTCTCCGTGGTGGAGCTTTTACCTGCAGAGCGAAGGTGATTTCTTCCTCAGTAAACCAGCGAGCATCCTCCAGCTCCAAGTGGTCCACATTCAGCTGGAACAAAAAACAGGTCATATGATATGCAACTTATATTTAACTAAACATTTCACATGCAGCTGGTTCCAAGCGACCAGTACTCCTTTATTTTTTATCTGCTCATTTAAAGCAGAGCTCCGATATAAACTGATTCTAACTGTTTTATCCCAACTGATTTGATCTAAAGTTTAGCAGAAACTCTGATTACAAATTTTAACTTTTAAAAGGCCTAGTCACCTGAGAGTGGGCAGGGCTAACAGTGGCATGGCAGGCCAGCATGAAGGAGCTTTGAGGGAAAGGCCAGTGCTGTGATGAACTGTAGATGATGTTCTGTACCTCCAGACCCACCTCTTCTGCTACCTCCCTGCGCAGAGCCTCTTCCAAAGACTCCCCTAGAAGCAACACACATGCATTACATATTGCAAGTATTAGATATGTATCTGTTTTACAAAACTTGAGTCAAATTACCAGGTCATTCGCAGGACTCTGGAGAACTTGACTGCTCTAAGCTATGTGGTTAAAGTGTGTTGAACCTGGGGTAGTTCTCTCAATTGCAGGACCGGTGTCCCTTGACTCCTGGATTTGAGAACCCCTGCTTTGACATCACTAGATGTATCAACAACTGGTGAGACTCACCCATGTCACAGAAGCCAGCAAGAGCACTATACAACCCACAAGGGAAGGATGACTGACGGCCCAACAAACAACGTTTCCCATCAGACACCAGGACAATCACCACTGGAGACATCTAAAAGAAAACCATTCACTCATAAGACTGACAGTCAAATGTCCACTAATGTGTTGGTTTAACACTGATTCTGTCTTAACTTAGATCTGTATAAATTCAAGCTTGGTCATGCAGTGGCTTTCAAATTAGCTCAATTCAGTTTATATAGCAGTTATAAATGTCACCTTGAGATACTTTGCAAAAGTGTCTCAAGGCTTCACTTGAGACACTTTTTTGCTGGTCCAGGATTCACTCCTCCTGACCAGCATGTAGTGACAGTAATGTTCAGTCTTTCCTGTGCTGCAGGTTTGTCTCCTCTTCTGAGACAAATTTCTCCCATGAGAGACAAATAAATTATCTTATTCATTACCAAAAGACTATCAGTGGGCTGCACAGTGGCGCTGTTGCCTTGCAGCAAGAAGGTCCTGGGTTCGATTCCCGGCCCGGGGTCTTTCTGCATGGAGTGTGCATGTTGTCCCTGTGTATGCGTGGATTCTCTCCGGGTTCTCCGGCTTTCTCCCACAGTCCAAAAACATGACTGTCAGGTTAATTGGCCTTCCCAAATTCTCCCTAGGTGTGAATGTGTGTGGTTGTTTGTCCTGTTTGTCTTTGTGTTGCCCTGCGACAGACTTGCGACCTGTCCAGGGTCTGATTAACATTGCACCCCGCCTCTCGCCCGGAACGCAGCTGGAGATAGACACCAGCACCTCCCGACCCCGTTAGGGACAAGGGTGCTCAAAAAATGGATGGATGGATGGAAGACTATCAGTTGTGTTGTGTCATTTACTTTACAGCAATCTTTCATTCAGAGCATCTCTACTGTTTTCCAACAGTAGAGAGGAAAACTCCCATTTAAGAGGAAGCAACCTCTTAAATGGTACAAGTGGATGTCTGCCACCAAATGGGAAGAAAATGATACATGTTTAATGTTTTTACAAGCTTTTGTATTTACTTCCAGTTGCTCTGAAAACCTTAGTTAGAGTACAGTGTACCCAAAAGCCTTTAGAAGTTACCTAATTAGAAAATAAACTTCAGCTCTGTGAATCTCAAGAGTAAAAGAATTGAACTTCTATTGCACTTTGCAGTCATTTTGACCATTCAAAGTACTTTACACATTATTTTTGAATTGCACTCACAAACACTCATATTTATACAAAAATATGTTAAATGCTTTGCCCAAGGACACATTGACATGTAACAAGAGGAAGCTGGAACTGAACCTACAGCCTTCCAAATACAAGACTCTATCTACTTAACCACATAGAGTTGATATCTTGATGTTGCCAGAGATTAAAATGACTTTAACACTCTGGGTTTAGATCAAAGCCTGTACATGCATACTTCACAACTATGTATTAATTGGTTCTGTCACATAAAATCTCAAAAATACATCAAAGTCTGTGGTTGGAGAAAGAGAATGTGGAAAAGTTCAGGGGGCAAGAAAAGTCACTACTTCAGATGAAGGGCCTCAGAGTTCACAGCTTTCACACTTTCAAAAACTGGCAATTTTAGAAAAGTGCAGCGCACAAAAAATGTGGATGTATAAAGCCGTGTGCACGCACATATCTGTGCACCTTTCCTTTATAAAGCTCAATTTGCCGGAAATAGTCACTCATAAATACATATGTAAATTTGTATAAATATCCAGAAGACTGCCACTACGTGAGGCAATTACCATCACAACTGTCCTTCCTTGTAGTAGTATAAGTATTTAAATTAATAATAATAATTATATATTTTATTTAAAAGATGCTTTTGGTCACCTCACAAAAAATAAAAACTAATACATTTTAAAGAGAAACGTCAAAATGAAAAAGATTTAGATAAAATGCATTTCATGCGCTTCGGTGCACAGATCAATGCGTTACATCTTCATGAGACAAAAATTAAAAATTTTGTTATGACATTAACCAAGAAATCATGATCTGACATAAATTTGTGATAAAAGTATTTCTGATTTAACTTTAGCTTTGATAACTTAAAGCTACATATTGTTTTCAAAGTCCAGGAGAACAGTGATAAATATTTATGAAGACTCACTCATGTTTATGATGGTGTCATGACATTCTTATTCACAAACAAGCGTAACAGAAATTTGTAACTAAGACAGACTCTGACCCTATTTGGTTCTATTTTAACACCTTTGGGTAGTAGACAATAGAGCTGCTGCTGCAGGCCCTCTGGCTTCCAGCCTGGTTCCGTTGGGTCAGCTGGCCCGTAGCGCCACAGAACCTGTTAATCTGGTGCCATCGGAGCAAAGCCTGAGCCTGCAAAACACACAAATGTCAGGACCAGAACACAAATTAGATTCCATGAAGAAACTCTGGAGTTCTGGTCTATCACAAAAAACAGAACAAGAAAGTCCAGTAGTAGTTACTCACTTTGGCGATTACAGGTGCCTCAACTCCTTCTAGGAGAAAGAAAGCTTTCCTGAGATCCATGAACGTTCCCTTACAATTCTTTGCGATTGCGGCTGGATCCAGTTCCCCTGAAAACATTTAAGAATCCAAACAGAACCCCCAGAACTCAATCAGGCAAAAACTTTCTCAAAGTCTGAAGTGACACATAGAAAGAGTCCAACATGCTCTTACCCACATCCAGACAGAACTGAGCATGGTTATGCTCAGAACAGCCAATCAGAATGGATTCTTTTAGCAAGGATCCATCAGAACCACATTTATGCAGGATTGACTGGACCTCTAGAAGATAAAGCCAAAGAACAATGATCAGGTTACCCTGCTACTCGCCTGCTGGAGATAGGCACCAGCTCCCCTGGTGACCCTCACTCCACTCCACCAACTCAAACTTTCTCCACATACCCAAAACCTAACTTGGAACCGTGGATAGGGCCTTCTTGCTCCACATCTATGGAATGCCCTACCTGACTGTTAAGAATCAGATTAATTTATATTTGCCAAGTTATTAATGTTACAGATCTAAGGTTATGTGAATGGTAGATCTATTGTTGTTTATTTATTCATTGTTTGTTTTGCTTAGACCCGCCTCCTTGTCAGTGATTAACAAGCAGAAGCAGCTGCTGTGGTGGATCTGATTGTGAGAAGTGATACAGTTTTTCTACCGCACCAATTTACGTTTATATTTCGGTTTTTTGTAAGTCAACTCGGAGAATATTTCTGTTATTTTTATAAGTAAAGAAAACACACCTTTGAAACTAGAAAACTCTCTGCAAGTGCTTTTTGTTTTGGATGAGTTGAAACCCTCCTCCTTGAAACTACTCTGGCAGTTTTTGATTTTTGAAAACTGGTCACTCTGCAAGAGTAGCCTTAACACTGACACTCTGAGTGCACCATAATCCACTGACTGTTTTAACGAAAGGCCTTAAGATATTCCTTTTACAATGCTTATAAATAAACTCTATTATTATTAAAGATATCAATGTTAGACAATGGATGTTCAGGTTCTGCATTGGGTTACATCTGAGGTACTATGTTAAGTTTTGTGTGTATCATTCTTGGTGTGAGGTTTGCCTCGGTGACTGATCTTGTACTTCAGTTTTTGAGGATGTTAATTGAAGGTCTGTTTCATTTTCTGAGGTTGCATACCTGAGTAGCTGAGAGCAACAGGTCTAAAGGTTTCTGGATCACTGCACTGCAGCAGTGGGATGAGGCGATGAAACAGGAAAATGTGCCCATTTTGCAGCGCTGAAAGACATGCTGCATCATTCTCCTTCAGCCTGTTTATGTACCTGAAGAGATTGATCAATCAATCAATCAATCAATCAATCAATCAGTCAATCAATCAGTCAATCAATTGCACATGAGCTCCTGAACCTCATTCTGGACACAAAGCCTGAGCAGAACCGGGTAAGACTGTAATGTTCTCCAAAGAAAAGGGTCTTCAGGGGCCTTAATGCCGACATGCTGGACTGGATCATGCTCTGAATCTGAGAGCTATGAAAAAGGCTGCTCTGGTTCTACTGCCTGCAGAAAGACAGCAAGGTAAAGTTAGGTACATATAGCAGTGATGGTACAAGAAAACTGTTCATCTTAAGTGCAACCAGTGAGACACAACACTCAAGAGCCCATGCAGTCGTGTGAAGCACTCACATAGCTTGGAGTTATTTTACAGAAGCAAAGTTTTGACTTTTCAGAAAATAATCCTTTTCATGTCATAAGGCATGACTAATTTGGATTTTAAAAACAAATTCCGTTAACAGTTACAGTACTGAACTACTATGCTACACTAAATGATCATTCCCTCTGAAGTAATAGGCCTCATAAGTCCTCAAAAGTCATTATAAAAAATGTTGAATTAGGTCTCAAAATCTGTCAATTCTGTGCATTTCTTTCTCAGTCTTTCAAGAAGATGTCTCCTTGACTGAACAGTTTCTCTGGTGAACCTCAGAGATGTGTGGAGCTTTACACAAAACATGCTCCTTATGTTCAATAACAATAATTAATTAATAATTAACTGATACAATAGCTAGAAGGTTTTATCATGTTGGTCTTGGGTTCTTTGTGCTAGTTTCCAGCTAATTGAATCATTTATTATAAAAATGTCAAGTCCTTACTTGGTGAGGTTGGATGACACCTGCCTGTCAACATACAATTGAAACCAGAAGTTTAAATACAGCAACTAAAAAGACACTGATTTTTTTTCTCATTGTCTGAAGTTAAATCAGACCAAACTTATCTTGTCTTAGATCAGTCAAAATAATCTAAATTAATTGTATTTGTTAAATGCTAGACAACTTATTGAGAACATTTTCCACATTTCAAAAACGTACATACATTTGGTCAGTATCTGGGAAAACTGTCTTTTAAACTATTATCTTCGCACTGCCTCCTGCTGTCCTTTTAGAGTTTTGTTTTTTTGTTAGTCCAGAGTAGGATTGTTTTCATTTTCTGGTACCTGAGGGCGGGCTTTTTATTTATTTTGTTCGTTTCCTGTTTCTTTTGAGGCACTTCCCTTCAACGCATAATACCGTTATACATTTGGTGTGATCCCCACCTCGGGTTACACAGTTTAGAGCTAGCGGGGAATCCTGTTTATGTGTGAAACAATAAATATTAATAATTAACGTCATTCTGGTGATTGTTTATTGTCCATCGGACTTGTAACATAATGAAAAAAAGGAACAACAAATTGAATGAGGACGAGGAACGAATGCAGAAAAAAGACATTGGATGTCTGAACAGCTGTGGAACGTTCTCTGCTGTGAAACGCTCTCTGCTGTGGAACGTTCTCTCCTGTGGAACGTCCTCCAGAGAAAGAGCTTTTTGTTTTGAAGGGACAATTTCTTGTTTAACAGTTTCAGCAAAGGCAGCTTAACTAAGCCTGACTATTAGCCTGTTCTGGAGCAGGTCAGTTGCACTAAAGAAATCGCCATGGTAACTTATGTGTTCTCTTTTGTGAAACCGAATCGAGACTTAAACCAAGATATCCGGAAAATACACAGGCTAAATCCGCTTTCCTGGTTCTGTGAATCAACTCTCCGTTGCTGTTTTTCTGTCAACCTCCTGACTGATGGTTCTGAGCAGGAACCCAAACCAACTGGTCTGTTATGCCAGAGTTCTGTGTCGACCTGCTGTCAGTAAAGCCACGGAAAGGTTCGGCTGTGACAGGGAGCAGCATCTAGTGGGCCTGACGTGTACAGTCAGATGTTGTGGTTGCAAATTAAAGGCCTGCTGTTTGTGTTTGAGTATCAGCTCTTGTGTCCGGTACCTGAATGTTCCGTACCGCGTATCTCTTCTTCTGCTGCTGCTGACTTATTCTTGGTTCCACCTGCTGGTTGATCATGTTCTCTGCAGTGGTGATGATGGGTCTTCTGAAGCCAGGCTTCGAGGCGTGTACAGAGTAAAAAGGGGCGTGTCAGATGAAGCCCTCCTTCGATGCTTGTGTCGAAAACTACGTGACTGATAACAATGCCTCGCATTGTATGGGTCACGTGACTGCTTCATTTTACGTTTCGGTTTTCAAAATAAAAGCGTAAATTTGGCTTCGTTGGTTGTTGTATTTGATCATTTACACTGCACTTACATGAAAACTGAATGAATCACCCAGGACTGATCGTCTCAATACATGCTTTTATAAAACGTTTTCAGAACAGCTACTGCCATTTTTACATCAAGTATATCTTGAAAGTTTTGATTCTGGATCACTCCACCAACAATGACTCAAATCTGATCACAGTGATCCCAAAATCACAAAAAGACATGCTTCTTCTGGCTAACTGTTGACCAATTACATTACTACAAAAAGACTATAAAATTATTGCAGGTGTAACGGGTAATAGATACAGATGAAATTCTTGCTAAAATATGTTTTGTAATTACCATGTGATGAATGGTTTTTGGCGCCCCCTACTGGTTGCCTATAAATAGAAAACTAAACCGTAAATTCCACGCAGTCTGTTCAGCGCTCTACTGTGGTAAGTCACCAAATCCAGTTCTTTTCTGAGCAGTCATAGTGGGTGTGCTCAAAGACTGACGTGGAGTTTTATTACAGTATGCGGAGAGCTGGTGGACCAGCAGTGGAGCTCACTGTGCTAATTTGTGTTGACCATTTATTACAGGTAATTATGTTATATTATTTATTAGTAATTTATTTTGTCAGTTATGTTTGTCAGTTTTTCTTCAGTTGAGTTTGTCGGTTTGTCTGTTGTATTGTCGGTTAGCTGTATTTAACAGCTTGTCAGTTTGTTTGTTCCCTGTTTCAGTTAGAAGTTACTGTTAAATAGTTTATTAGTTAAATTTGACTGCTGTCTATGTCTATTTTTTTTGTTTTTTTCTTCATTTATAGGAGATAGATCAGATTGTGTTAAATTAATTTTAAAGAAGTATTAATAATCAAATATCATTATACGTTCCTCTGTTAGAAAAATATGTTGTTAAGCCAGATTGTAATAATTGTTTGTGAGGCAGTCTGTTCAGCGCTCTACTGTGTATGCGGAGAGCTGGTGGACCAGTAGTGGAGCTCACTGTGCTAATTTGTGTTGACCATTTTATTACAGAAAATTCAACCAACTGGCCTCCTTTGTGTGTATGACGGGACGGGCATGAGGGGAAGCTGTTACACGGGTGGTATTGCTACAAAAATTAAGAATACTCTGGAAGAAATGGTTGATAAAACTCAGTCTGGATTCATACCAGGTAGATATATAACTAATATCACTTATGTTGGGTCTGCTGGATTACTCAGATTTACTTCTGACACAGTTGAACATACATTTTTGTTCAAAACATTAGAAGTATTCGGATATGGACAAATCTTAATTAAAAGTTGTCAAATGTTATATAGGAATTGTAATGCATCTGTAACATTGTCACATGGCGGCTCTAAAATATTTTATTTGAAAAGAGGTCTCAGACAAAGGTGTCCAGTCTCCCCATATTTGTTTATTCTGGCCATGCAAATTCTTTCAATTAAAATCAAGGAAAAAAATTACAGGGATTAATGTTACAAACAGAAATATTGTGATGTCCCAGTTTGCTGCACTTTTTTTTAAAGACTGAATGTGAAATAAAAAAAATTCTTGAAATCAATACCTTCTCCAAAGCTTCTGGTTTGACTCTAAATCTAAACAAAGGCGAATTACTTAAAAAAATGAAATAAATAATTGTAGAAAGATTGAATCTGTCTCCAGAGAGATCTCTCTGTTTTAGGACGTTCACTAATAGTCAAAGCTGAAGGTTTATCTGGACTCGTTTATCCAACCCTTCTTGATGTTCCCAAACAAATCTGTACCAATATTAGTAAAATAAACTTTAACTTTATATGGAAAAAGAAATGCCTTTTGATCAAGAAAATATTCCAAAGATTAAAGTTGAAAAAGATGGAATTAAGGCCCTTGACTTCACATCTTTAAACAATTCATTCAAAATTATAGAAGAACATATACAAACACTCTCAATCTTCCATTCACACCCTCTTCTCACAGTGAGAAGAAATTGGCGCGTATCATCACCAGTTGGTGGCAGTAATGCGCCTCATCCTTGTTAGCCAAACCGACAAGAACGTCAAAGAAGATTCCCACTCCCAGCAGTCAGTTCGTTTCCACCTCGCTGCAGCAGGATGTCTGTGTTCATGGATCTGAATGTGCTGTTTTCTGCAGGGAGGAGCGGCCTGCAGAGGCTGGTAGAGACCGCAGCTCACTGTGAGTCCACTTCCGGTCACCGGGCCTGGGTCTGGTCTGTCAATCCATCCCATTCGGTCTATTATAGTTCAGAACAACAGCAGGGCTTTCACATGTTCATTTGATTGATGATTGCTATGTGTGTCTCAGAAATGTGTTTCATGGGATGGGATGACCGCTGTAGTAATGGACATTGTTTTATGGCAGTGGTTTTTATATGGAAAAAAAAGTCATTCACAGAGCAGTCGTTCACGTGTTTGAGTACCCAAAACTGTACTCGGATCACAGTAGTGTTTACTTTAGAAATAGAAAGAAAGTCTAATAAATGACTTAAGCTTTAGTGTAAAAAGAAATGGTAAAAGGTCTACTCAAGTACTGAGATACTGATTATAACATCTGATTTGATATTTTACGTTTAAGTCATCAGATAGCCAAAAATATAAAATTCTGGTATTTTCAAGATTATTACCAAAATATTTATTCAAATACAGATTTTCCCCTAGAAAACTTACAAAGCCCGGTGGTTGGGGCACCGAGGCGGTCCATTGTGTTTTTGTATGAAAAGATGTTAAGTAGACAGGAAATATATAAGTATTATACATAAGTATTACTGGTGATACTGGAATATAAGTCAGCAGCTTCATAAGGTCCCCCCAGGGCTTCAGGGGCCCATAAATGCTAATATTTTAACAGAGACCAGCGATATATAAATGTTATGAAATTATCTAGCAGATGGAAAGTGTGGTCCTATCTTGATACAGCAGCTGTAAGTCCAGCGCTACAATTTTTATTTAATTGTTAAACCAAATATCTGAAGGTTTAAAAACCCCCACCACTGAATATTAACAAAAGACAGTTTTTAGTATAATTTCTTTGGTACCCCTCTTAGCCCTTGTCTAGAACCGGCCCTGGCCTGCAGGTTTGTCTGGTGCATTTTTGGTGACCATGTTTTTTCTTCATTGATTGATTGTGGTTCAGGTTATCCAAACTAATGAACCACATTAATAAACTAATAGTGAAATAATACACTGAGTAAATAAGCCCCTCTTATTCAAAGAGGGGCTTATTGGCATGTTGAAGGCACATGCCAGTGAAAAGGTATCTGCCTTCAAATAATTTTAACAGTGCTCCTGCATAAGTCTCATAACTTATAGGTTGATGCATAAATCAACTTGTACAAACAACTTATACAATAATGTTTGTTTTAGCCACATAAATGGTCATGCTCAGTAGCAAACAACATATCTCCAACTACAGCTTAAAGTAGCTCTTTGATATATTAATGAAGTAGCCATGTAGCCTGATGTAAAAACATTTGTTAGACATTGAAAAGTTTTGATAATGTTATCACACGTTATCAACTACGGCATTTTAAGGTTAGTGGATAAGATTGTCTTCTCATGTAAGTATTGGCTCATTACTGATACCCCAAAATGAAGGAAATTGGTGCAGATAAATTGACTGGCCGGTAAATGTATCTTATATTATACATGCATATAGGATATAATGTAAACAGCACCGTCAGAAATGCTATGAGTGTATAGCAGATGTGTGAATTATCTGATTGCTGATTGCAGCCAGTCAACATTATTAGCAGAACTTTGGGGCCCCTTAACCAAATTTTGTTTTGGGCCCCATGGAGTCTTGGGCCAGCACTGCTGTAGTTTATTTTTAAATAACCATTTCATTTCCTGCCAAGATCAAAAATATATATTTTAAAATGATCAACACTAACATCATCACTACACACACAGTTTTTCATTCAACAAGGTCTTTAACTTAAAATATCTTGCAAAACTACTTTTTTAAACTAAAGCAAATAAGTCTCATCTTCAACTGTAAATAATCATAAAAACTATTTGAACCATCACATAAATCTAACATTGACTCAACAGACTCAACACTCTTTTTTCTTTAGATCTTTCTGATTCCAGCTGAATCCACAGCTAGCCACAGCTAGCCACAGCAGGGTGATTCACCACAGAACTGCAATCCCAAAAAGACAGAAACTGAGTGGCACGCAGATGCTCCCAGAGAAGACCACTACCCCGATTTGCTGAACAAATATGACGCTTTATTTTTATTCCCAACAAAAATATATGCTGGATTGAAATTATGAGATTCTTTATTGGGTGTGTCTCCAGAAATCTATAGTTACATGATTAAATAGTAACCAACCTTCATAAAATTAATGAGATATTTCAACCATTAATTAATCCACTTTAGATTTACTGTTTTAATTATAGCATGTTTGTTCCTTCTGCAGTGGGATTCTCCACTGTTGCCATCAACTATGTATTTGAACCCACAACCAAGGAGAAACAGGTGCGATTAGCTGCTGTGCTGTTACTGAACATCCTGTTCTCCTGTCAGTCACTGCTCAGTAAAGTTTGTTTGTTTGTTTCCCCTCTGTAGGAAGTTCCATCGCCAGTGCCGATCAGTGAGCTGATTGGTCAGCTACCTGTGGTACAGGGTCGCTCTCATCCAATCAAAGTGCTGAATAGACTAACAATGGTGATGTCAGAGGCCAGTCCCTTTGTGAGTTTTCCATTGTTGATCAGAGTACCAGATGAAAGCTTTTTTTTCTGAAGTTGTGATGTGTGTTTGTGTATTTTGCTTTCCTAGAGGTCATATGCTACAGAGTTTCGTGCCTTTGACCTCCTGGCCATTCAGCCGACCACCGAGAAGCTCTTCCATGTGAGATTTACTGACTCTATGTTTAATCTGAGCTGAAGCAGGATGATGCTTCACTGTTTTTGTTTGTTTTAGCTCACCTATAGCTCACCTTGTTAAAACAAAGTTTTCACTGTTGGCCAAATGGCAGCATACAGTTCGCCATGTGGGAATTATGGCTGCTCCCTTTGAGAAAAACGAGTAATAGTGACATATCAGCATTCACTGCTATTTTTCCCTGCTGACCTCCATTTCACAGGAATGGGAAGCTGAGAAAAAATGTCAGGTTGAGGGTTAGGTGGAAGGAGGAGACTGAGATTCAGCCTTGATATTGGCGCCCAGCTGTTAGTTCACTTACACCAAGCAGGAAGTCTGCAGAAGGAGAGGCAGGACAGGGTCTCTTTTGCAGTATTGACGTCCTATGCAGGTTCACAATAACGATATACTTTTCAGAAACGTTTGTTGCTGATGCAGCATCAAAAGGCTCAGAATTCTTTTGTATTTAGGTAGCGTTTCACACTGCAAGCCTTATTCCTCAATTCAGATTTTTTTTTAATGTGGTTCATATTTCCGAATAGATGCAACTTATGTGCAGATGCATAGTAGGGCACATGCTCAGTGCTGGTAAAAGTAAACATGGAGTAAAATGATGGAGCGTATGTTGCGGTTTAAAAGTAGTTGTCCAACCGGAGCCCGCACATTAACAACTTAATCCTCATTATTGTCTGCCATGGTTTTTGTCTTCTTACTTAGTGTGTATCAGATCAGTGATGTTTGTTGAGTATCACTGATTTACAGTCTGGGTGAAAGTGGCCAAGTCAAATTTGAAAAGTTGAGATGCATATCAGATTTAAAATCACATATATAAGTGGCCTGAGTTGCCACTTATAAAATTTGATCTGTGTTGATCAGTCTGCCTTAAAAAAAATTCAGATACAAGCTGCATAAGAGAAAAAAAAATCTGAGTTTTGTAACTTCAAGTTGCAGTGTAAAACTGCCTTTAGGAAACTAAAAACTAAAAAAAAACCCTGAAAACTGTCTTTAGGTTTTTTCTGCTTTCTCCCTCAGGAGATGCTTTTCATACAGAAAGCATTGACGCTTTCTGTATGAAAGCGTCAATGCTGAGAAACGTCTCTCTGAGCTAAGAGCACTCTGATAGTTTTAGTGGAGTAATGCATAGTAACACTGTGTGTTTGTGACAGACAATCTGCATGGAGTGGGACGTTGACATCATTTGCATCTCGATGACAGAGAAACTTCCCTTCTTCTTCAAGAGAGCGCCCATAAACGGGGTGACTACCTCATTCCACATTTCCTGGCTTGCTTCCTTGTTTGTGAGTGTTTACTGCATCTGTCATTGTGTAGGCCATTGACAGAGGAGTGGTGTTTGAGGTATCATATGCCTCAGCACTCAGGGACTCCACCATGAGGCGATACACTATTGCCAACGCTGTTTGTTTGATGGAAAGCTGCAAAGGAAAGGTTGGTGTTCTTGCATATGATTCTGCGACCTGCAAATTTCAGGTCTGAAATTTTGAAACTGTTCCTCTTTCAGAACGTCATTGTCTCAAGTGCAGCTGAGAAGGTCAGTGATCAATAATGTGTGGAGAGAACCCAGTCAGTCTGTATTAATGAAAACTACTTGATGATGGTTATCATTTGCTAATGCTAGTAACACTCAGTAACACTAAGTATCATTTCTTAATATTTTTTAATGATGCAAAACATCAAATTACATTTGTTACCTATTGTTAATACTCCACACCAGCCAGTAAACTTTATCCATGATTAATTGTCAAAGAGACAGTTTGGTCCTCTGGGGCCAGCATGGCTCTCTAACTTTGTGTTTGTGTGTGTTTTTTTAAGGCTTTGGAGCTTAGAGGACCTTATGACATCATTAATCTGTATCCTCCGGCTGGTGATAATTGTCTGATAGGTCTCTCCCACTCTGAAGGAACATGGAAATCAAAGCTTTGCATCAGACTCCAGTGTGTGGAGCAGGAACAGTGAGAGAGGCAGCAGTTCAGCAGTGTGATGGCATCCCTCTGGTGCCATGCTATGCTCTTCCTGTAAAACAGTGCAGTGTTTTTTGTAGTAAAGTGTGGAACTGGATTCAGTGTATTGCAGGGAAAAAATTGGTGTGTTGTGTTCCTGACGAGTCTCTCAGAGGGACGCTGTTTGGTCTGTCAGATGCTGATTCTAAAGAAGCCGTGTCTTCCACCTGCAGAGCCGTTTTACTGCATGCAGGTAAATTATGATGAAGCCTTGCAGCTGCAGAAGCTTCCTGTTGGTTAATCTCAGTCTGCCTGTTCATCAAGAGTTCATCTGTCTGTTCATCTGTTATATCACATTTTTGACTTTGTTCTTTGTCTCCAGAAACCAGGAAGACTGCTAGTGGCATTGTGTACACCAGGAACAGTCAGCAGGAGGCCCTTCAGGACAGTGACGGCAGTAGGTCTTTTCACATTCATGAATCAGATACGAAGCAGCATTAACTGAGCTGCAGAACTTGAATTAAGTAATACCTCAGGTGTTTCTTAAAGGGATCCATGATTAGTTCTATTGAATAATATTTATTTTAGATGTAAAAGCAATACAATAAAAATACTGTAAGCTGTTTGGTTTTTATTAATTTAAATAAGATATTGTCACACGGACAATATCCGTGTGACAATATTGCAGCTTAACTATGTTGGTTAAGCTGCAATACATTCTGGGTAAATGTCAAATGATAGGCATGATTGCACTAGCTTCATCCAGGACAACAGCAGTGAGTAATATCTTTAAGGTTTTTAGATTTGAATGTTGAAGTTGATGGGAATGTAGAAACCACAAGAGGTAAAGAAGATGAGGAAAACCAAACAGAGGAAGAAGATGATGGTGTTTGTGCTGCTTATTTATTTTATAAGTTCCATGAAAGTGTCATTTCTGTGCTTGTCACATTGAATCACTCTGTTTTTATCTTAAATGAGTTACTCAAACTAGTGATGGGGGGCAAAATCAAAAACTCTTATCGTTTTTCTATCAGTGTATCTAATATGGCTCAGATAGTTGGTAGACTGTGGAGATATGCATGATCTACTGACACAGACTAGTGACGTATTGCCCAGCCCCTCCTGTTCTCTTTGGTTCCCTGGTTCTCTTAGGTTCACCATTTTCTCTATGTTTACCAGCGTTTCCTGCAGTTTAGCTATATTTCCCTGTTGGATGATATTTTCTCTCATTCTCCTTTTACAGGTGAAGCTCCTGCTGCCAAACGACCCAAACCAACCGACAGGGATTGAGGAGGCAGAGACTATTCTCATTTGTTTTACTGTTTTTGCTTGTCTCTTTTTGAAGATGTATTGCCTCCTAAAACTGATTTGTAATTTTGGGTCAATAAAGTTTGAAAAATAAATTATCTATTCTTTTTTAGCAAATTGATGTATGTGTGTGTGTATGTATATGTATAGTGTCGTCAGCACTTCTCACAAAAAGAGAGTTAATTTCTGACCTATCTATAGCCCACAGCAGACTTCATAGGGAATCTTTTTTTAGCTGGATTATTTAAGACATGCCTGAATTCTCACAGCCTACATCACAATGTCACATCTTGTCTTCATTCCATAGGTTAACCCCAAAATTAAATACAATTTTTTTACTATTTTTAAGAGAAATTAACTTAGTCAAAGAATGTATGTGTATTTATTCCACCGTATGTTGGGGTGCACTGATTGCAGTTTTCTGGCAAATCTTTTAAAAGTCTTACCTGCTGATTTTGATTTTGACCAACACCAATTTTTGTATTTTTTTTGTCTGAAATGTTGCTAAATGTAGAAAAAAGTTTCCATTGGAGTCGCTATTAACTGCAAACAGGCAGACATGAACTGGTGGGCCAATCTATCAGTCAAACCTCTCATGGAAGAGGAACAGAGGACAGTGGTTAGTTTTTAAACCTTACTTAGGTAGGTAAGATCGGTGGGTAAGATTGTATCCACATGTAAGTATCAAATCCCCCAAAGTTGAGGAAATTGATGCCTATAAATTGGCCAATAAATGCCTATGGTCACTCCTAAGTGTCCAGCAGATGTCACTGTGCTGCTGTGTTTGAAGCCTTGAAGCTTTGACTCCACTATCAGATGGAGGTCTGAACCACCGCACCAGTCAGGATATTCTTCATTTGAATATCCTTCTTTGAGATATTCAAATGAAGAATTTGATGATTTAAAAGTTTTATTTTTGGCAGCTCAAATTTATTAACTTATTGTTTGAACTGTAAGAAGCTGTGTGGTTTGTTATGTTCAGTTATATTTTATGTATTTTGATTCTGAAATCTTTCTGCCTAACAGGACTTTTGTCCACCTTTCAGTGCCAAAATGAACTTCATATGTTTTTTATAACAGGGTAATATGATAAAAATAGTATCTAGCATCATAATGTGAAATCCCAGCACTCAGGAAACACTGGGGAAACTCCTAAAAGATAAGAACAGATGATGGAGCACAAAAAAGAAAGTGATTCACAACACAAGCAGCTCAGGACGTCAACAAGTTAAGAATGCCTTCATTCTGTTCTGTGACAACACACACACACATATGTCTGCATGTTTATTCATGCAGATATTTACCTTTGATCTGCTCATTGTTCCCTGACAGCATCTGCAAATAGCCTCTCCTTCAGACAGTCACACATTAGGCTTCAAAGTCCCCACAGACACTTTGCTCTGGATCATGGCTCAGAGAATTTTCTAACAACAAAGCAGAAGGCTGAATCTATAATCAACTGTTTTCATTATAATTATAAATGTCATGAAATGAAGCTTAAAATGAACAAATAAATGGAATTAATCTGTTTGTGTTATAAAATCTGATAAATTATTGCTTCCAAAATAAACTCCTCATTTAAACTCAGAAACAAAGATTAATGTTGAACAGAGTTCTGCTAGTTGTTCACAGAAAACTTCAGTTATCTACAGCCAACATTTTGAACAGTTCAGAATGTGTGGATATGGAGTCATTTCTCCATCATTGGGAATTCTGACTCAGTGACATATTTAACTTGTCAGACTTTTAACAGATTCCCTAACAGCAGGCTGGTCAGTGATTCGATTATTCTACAGAAATAATGTGATTTATGTAGTAATTGTAGGTCTTATGGGAAGAACAATCCTTTGATTCAAGAATAAAACTCAGATAAGCCTACACAGGAATGCTGGAGCCTGCAGCTAGTTTCCTCTGCCACGTTTTCTTGGGAAAAACGTGGGTTTTCCCCAAGCAGGAAGGAAACGGAAGTGTCTATATAAGGGGCTGGAAGTGATTTGCGTCAGAAGTGGGATAGGCTGTTGACCTGTTTATAAAAGCTGCTGACGATGGAAGAGTGAAGACACTGAACCACTGAGCTATACTCTGAACAGACTGAACCAGATCCAGAATTATGCTGTTACAGCCAGTCTGGAGCTTCCTGCTAGGACACTCCTCCGTCCTGCGCTCCCCTTTCTTCCCGGTCTTGTTCTCCCTGACTGTGTACCTGATCTTCTGCCTGCCATTCCTCCTGCTGGACCTGCTCTCCTCCAGGTGGAGCTTGGTGCGCAGGTACAAGTTACAACCTCAGAGCATCAGCAACTGGACCACAGTGCAAAGCTGTCTGGCTCTGACCCTCTATAACCACATCATCTTCATCTTCCCCCTCACCGTGCTCAACTGGTACCTGCGACCAGTGCTGCTGCCCCAGGAGGCTCCACCCCTACCTCAAATGGTAGCTCAGGTCCTAGTCTGCCTGCTCCTTTTTGACTTTCAGAGCTTCACCTGGCACTGGCTCCACCACAAGGTGCCCTGGTTATATCGCACCTTTCACAAGGTTGGTTCAGAGTTTAAGGTTTTATCATATTCTGTAGATTTTATTGATCGTTCAGAAAGTTTTTCTCCCTATGCTCACCTTTCTTCCTTCTTCTGCAGCTGCACCACACCTACACCTCCACCTCAGCACTTACTGCAGAGTACTCCGGAGCCTGGGAGACACTGAGTTTGGGACTATTTGCTGCTGCCAACCCTTTGTTGCTGAGTTGCCATCCACTCACAGAGATGCTCTTCTTTGTTGTGAACATTTGGCTGTCGGTGGAAGACCACTGTGGTTATGATTTTCCCTGGGCCACACACCGTCTGATCCCTTTCGGCCTGTATGGCGGTGCACACCACCATGACCTCCACCACCTCAAGTCAAAATGCAACTATGCACCTTACTTCACACATTGGGACCGTCTTGCTGGGACACTGTACACATAGGACTGAGCCATGGGGACAAGGTGTTCCTGAATGCAACTCATCTTAGACTGCCTCAAATGTCCGGATGCAGACATTCATGGACTGATAAAGACTGTAGACTGACGCGCCAGTACAGAAGTTTTTTTTTTTTTTTTTTTTGCTGCAATATTTATATTTATTGTTGTATTTATTACCAGTCAAAGCTTTGAGCCAGACTTAAAGCTTTCAGTAGTGTATGGAAATTATTTCAGTCTTCGTATGGAGCTGTTCAGGACCCACAATCAGACTGAAGTTGTTATCCAGGTTCTGTTTCTATAAAGACTTTTGATTTAGTTTAAAGTTGATCGTGAAACTGAGAAAGTGTTTATGTTGAACAGTTCAACATGCACAGTTTGTGTAGTTTTATACACACCTCTTAGTCCCTATAGGAAAGTGAAAGGAATGTGAACACAGATCAAGATCAAGTTGAGAGGGAACTTCCCAGCAGCTTTCCAGCAGGGAAACTGCTGGGAAAGGAGGAGGAAGGAGATGACAAAACAGGAGAAATTAGGCGGAGGAGGGTGAGGAATGATGAGGAATATTACACAAGAATTTATTGGAAGAAAATAGTGTTTGAAAGAAATTGTGAAATCTACTGTGAAAAAATGTAAAGGAAATAATGCACTGAGAAAAGAAATCAAATAAATGTTCATGTTGTAAACAGTTTTTTCTATGTTTGTTCTTGAAGCTTCCTTTCCTACCTTAATGTATTATTTGACCAGCTAGTTTTCCAGAAGGGAAAACATTCTGAAAGATTTATTCCAATTCTGTTCACTGAATCTCTTTGACAGCTATTGATCATATTACTGACCAATTGTAGCTGAGTAGGTGGTATTGATCACTTTATTCGGATCAGATGTTGTTGATCACATTGTTAGTAATATGTTAATAATCTCATGTTAAATTCCAGATCCAGATGTACAGAACTAAGTAAACTGTGGAGATGATTCACTAAGTGAATCATTCTTGAAGATGATTCACTAAGTGAATCATCTCCACAGTTTGATTTACTCACCCCGATCCTCCCCCATCCTACTCTTCCTACTCTTATCTCTTTAAAGAGATTGGATCAAAACTGGGATAGGTGACTATTTTATAGTTGTTCCTTTGGAACATAAAAATTTAAGTGGGTCTGTAACTTTTATTAAGCAAAATGTTTTTTAAATATTTGTTAAAACAGTTGTGACAAAATGATAATGGACAAATAATCTGTGAAAAAACAAGCTCTTCTGCTTTCTCCCAGTGCTCCCAGTATTAACTATAGAAATACATAGCTCAGTTAGAAACAACCAATCAGAGCCAGGAGATGGGTTTTAGCATTGTCAATCATCTTTGTGTGTATGCTGCTCATATTGTCCCCTTTCTCTTGGTCCAATCCAGGATTGGTCAGGCTATTTAGCATCACCACCAATGATGACAATTTCCTGTGAAAAGATTCTACATTTAGCGCATATACAGGTTGATTGACAGCCACAGAACCCCCTCCTGTGTCTGATTGGATATTTTTGGTCGGGAGCGATGCATTTCTTTTGATAGCAATAGTAGCAGCGGGAGGAGGCGGAGGAAATCCATCTTTTCTCAGATTATGTGTCTCATATTATACTGTCAGGACATAGTGAGATTTAGCAAATATGTAAAAAAAAAATAAAAAAAAAAGTTTTGTCTTTATAAAAGTTGCACACCTCAGCTTTAATTGCATACCCCAGCTTTAAAATACTACAACATAGTTATAGACTCCATCAGAATAAACAAGTAACAGTTTCTGATTTCTGGGAGAGAAATGTTTTGTTTTTGGAACAAAAACCAACCTTCGCCCTTTAATTGGTGACTTATTTTGCACATGGACTTTAATTGATGTGGCTCCCTTCCTTGTGACCTCATCGAGGTGTCCATTTGCTTGTGGTATACCTAGGTACTTGTAACTGTCCTCTATGTCTGCTATTGTTCCTTGTGGGAGTAATACCCCTTCTGTGTGGATGACCTTCCCCCTCTTTGTGACCAGCCGACTACACTTCTCTAGTCCGAATGACATCCCAATGTCTGTGCTGTAGATCGTGGCGGTGTGGATCAGTGAGTCGATGTCTCGCTCACACTTGGCATACAGCTTGATGTCATCAATGTAGAGAAGGTGACTGATGTTGGCCCCATTTTTGAGTCGGTATCCGTAACCAGTCTTGTTGAGGGGGTTCAGGCTTATGCAGAACAGCAGCGGGGACAGAGCATCTCCTGGGTATATGCCACATTTGATGGACACTTGTGCAAGTGGTTTGCAGTTGGCTTCAAGGGTGGTTTTCCACAGCCTCATCAAGTTTGCAATGAAGGCTCTCAGAGTCCTTTTGATGTTGTACATCTTTAAGCATTCAATGATCCAAGTATGAGGCATTGAGTCATAGGCTTTCTTGTAATCAATCCAAGCCATGCACAGGTTGGTGTGTCGGGTTTTGCAGTCTCGGGCAACTGTGTGGTCTACGAGGAGTTGGTGTTTGGCTCCTCTGCTATTTACACCGATACCCTTCTGTGCCGTGCTGTAATAAAATATTAATGAAGTGATACATTAAATGACCACTGAACAACTATCCATAAAATATATCAACATTTGTGAATAAAACACACAAAGTAATGTAGAAAATATTTATGTATTTAGTGTTAATCTATTAGTATGATTTGTTCTTTAACTGGCCACTTATTTTGGCTAATGCTATGATTTATCAAATGTCTAAACTCAACAAATAATAATCAAACTAAAATCAACAAAAATCACAATAAGAAACTGAATCCATCATAGCAAAATGTTCTGTACCATATCAGCCTCAGGAGATGATTGAGGATGAAGAGACGCTGATTTCAGGTTCTTTAGATTCTGAGGGGTCTCCGGTTCCTCTTTTGATCCATTCTGTCTGTTACACAGCAGCGTCATGACGGACACAATGTTTTTGTTGATCAATGTACACAGTATCCATCCTCATAGAAATTGTCCAGCTTATAATGCACGTGAGAGGTTCCAAGACGGCGGAGTAAAAGGTACTATTTTTCAGGCTCTCGCATTCAGTTAGTGTTTAGGCAAGATTTAATCCAATTGTTGTGCTTTAGCCCCATTTTAATGCATCTTAGGTGCTTTTGTTCTCAGTTTGACAACTTTTTGAAACTATTTCAGTCTTTTTGTTCTTTTTTTGCCGTTTATCTACGGAAGCTACCATGTCAGACCATGACTACAATTGGTCGGCTCTTCAAGAGGCTTGTGACAGAGTTGTTATTGAAGAAATTGAGTTTGTCTATATCAGTTGCAAAATCTGTGCCTGAGCTTCTCCCTGAAGGTATGGGCAGGGTTGGTCAGAAAGTTTAATCTTTACAGACAGATAGGGGTGTTGGGCTGGCCTGCATACCACCCGCATTTTCTCCCGGCATCGATAGATCAAAAATATAGAAGGTGGGTAAGACAGGGAATCACCGCATTCTGCACTATAGTTAAAGACAGGGTATTACTGAAATTTGAGGAGTTATGCCGGACCTATGAGGTGGGTAAGGAGGACTTTTACCGTTACTTGCAGGTCCGTAGTTTCCTAAGAAAGGAAATGAGAATTTCTGACTTGGAGACAACTCCAGGAAAAATACAACTTTTTATTGATTCATATGCTGGTAAACCTATAAGAAGAATTATTGGCAAATGTTATAGAAATTTAAGATCCATGAATAAAAACTCAACTGACTATATAAAAGAGCGATGGGAAAAAGAAGCGGATGTGATAATTACGTCAGAGGCATGGATGCAAATTTGGAGGGGCTCCCTATCGACCACAAATTCTTTGATATGGCGCGACTTCACCTGGAAGAATCTAGCTCGATTTTTTATCACACCAAAGCAGAGATCTCAGATGGATGGGGATGCGGAGTGGTTGCGGTAGGCCACTATCATGTTTTCTGGGATTGTCCGGAGTTACAGACTTTTTGGAAGGATGTACATAGTCTAATATATAAAGTTATGGGTATAAATTTGGACTTGTCATTCACTGGCTGTATCTTGGAATACTTCCTGAAGGACTGAGCAAAGGGGATACATACCTGCTGAAGATAGTTTTGGTCGCCAGCAAGAAGGCGATCACTAAGTGTTGGCTCCAAAACACTTAGTGACTCAATGAGTCACCAAAACTGACTCATTGAAACTCCTGGTGAATATTATAAATATGATCCACGACATGGAGATGCTGACATTTGCAATACGACTTAAGAAGGAGAAAGGAGTGGAACTTTGGGAACGGTGGGAATGGTTCATTACCAGAGGGGACTAACAGTGATTTGTGGGAATCTGCCCCACCTGAGCGGGCAAATGGGGTTCTTTGCCTGTTCACATTTTTTTTTACTTTCTTTCTCCTGATACAGGACTTAATATATATATAGACATATATATATAGACAGTCAACCATATTCAGTATGGTTGACTGTCACCTGTCCCAGCCCTCGTGTTTTGTTGTGTTCTGTAATTGTATACCTATTTGTTTAAAAATAAATAAAAATAAAGTTTAAAAAAAAAAAAAAAAAGAAAAGAAATTGAGTTGGTCGGGGCCACGTCTGACCTTTCTGGTAAAGAACAGAAGGTGAACTGGGATCACACACCTATTAAGAACAAAAGCAAGAAGAAAATGAATCTACAATATTAAATCCTCAAAAATGTCTAATATTATGTCGTCCCATATGTCACATGTCAAATCCTCCCAAATGTCTCATGTTAAATCCTCCCATATGTCTAATGTTAAATCCTCCCATATGTCTAATGTTAAATTCTCCCATATTAAGTTCCCTTGAATGTCTCATGTTAAATGTTCTCACTGAGATAGAGCATTTTTGGTCTCTGACAGTTATTTTTTTTATTAAACTCGGAAATCAGACTGTTCATTTTTCAGTCCACCAAAAATGACTGCTTCTCAGTATTTCTATGCTGTTTCAAAGATTATAAAGCTGAAAGTTGAATATTTTGCTGAAAAATTCACATTTGTGCAATTTTCACTTCTGTCACTGAGATGGAGCGTTTTTGGTCTCTGACAGTCAATAAAAATTCTAACGTTTGTGCTGCTGGGGTCACCACAGTCATACCTGTGAAGTGTCCCGTTTTTGCGGGAAAGGTTTGTTTTTTAGCCTCCTATTAGTATTGTGCCCCTTTGCCCTCACATTATCTGCTTCAACCCTCTCTCCCATGATAGTTTCTCTCCCTCCCCACCCGGGTTGGTCAGTTTACCTAACCGACAAGTAAACAAGCATCTATGTTGACAAAGAGCATTAGACACCATTGATGAAAGTCACCAAAACTGAACTCTTTGTAAGTAAATATCTAAGATTGGTAAGCTGAAAATGTTTAGATTTCCTCTCATTTGTTCCTTATAAAAAAAGGTTGTTGTTCGCCATCTGCTGGTGAGAACAGTATTCTCTTTGTCAATCATTGAAAAATTTTAAAGAAAAAAAAACAAAAAAGGTGTAATATGAATTTGAGACAAGGGTCAGTTCTGGTAAATGTCATGTAGCAGGTTTAAAGAAATTTCAAGAGATATACATTAAGTGCTGTTTCTGTGTGAGGTTCTAATCCATACACGTTTAATCTACAACAAAAATGCTGCAGATTTTCATTTATTTATTTAACCTCAATTCCATATAAACATTAACTAGATAGCTTTTCGAATATCTGAATAAACCATTGTTGCTAAAACTCAACAAATTTTATTTTGAGTGGTTGGATATTTATTATTAAATTATGTAGCACATTTTACCTGATTCCTGTGACAAGTTCCCCCTTGAGTATATTGTGAGTTCCACGTTTATCAAGCCAAATTTTACATTATGATAAACAAAATGTGAATTTCTGAAACAAAAATGCCAAAAAAAACTAAAAAGGGGGCATATCAATCAAAACGTGCTTTTCATTGTCCTTAAATACATTTAGTTGTATAAATTTATAACGTCTGCACATATGCACTTGTCCATCCTCCCATTCATTTTCTTACATCCTTATCCCCAGTGGGGTCAGGAGAGCCCTGATGCCCATCTCCAGCAAACGTTTCGGGCAGAGGTGGAGTCACCCTGGACAGGTTGCCTGTCCATCGCCAGGACACATTATAATCTGTCCAAATGATGGATGGGCTTCGAATTTTCAGTTTTTTTTTTCTTTTTACAAAAGTTCAAATACAGAAAATCGTCAGTTAATCCCTGACATATACACACCTTTTGGATCTTAAGATATAAAGGATAAATGGTGGGTAGGTGTTGTTGGTGTTTGTCTTGCAATTGATAGGCTGCCAATTTGATTTCTGCTCCATCCTTTTCTGTCTGTCATTGTGTCTTTAGTTAGATACTTAGCTCACCTTCCCTACTGGTGGTGGTCAGGGGGCCTGGTGGTGCTTGTGCATGGCAGCCTCTCCTCTGTCAGAGTGCTCCAGGGCAGCTGGGGCCACAATCCTGCTACCATCAGTGAGTTAATGGGTAAATGACTGAATGGTCTGAACAAATACAAACCATTTATCATAAATCAAATCTATTATTATTACGGTACTTGTGTGTAGGTTGGGTAGATATATGTAGAAATAATCAAAAATACAGTTTCTTTGCCAGTAAAAAGTTTTACATTATTTCAGATTTTGCTGTTGACATAGGTGACCTGTGGACTAATAGTTAGCATGGCGTGAGTGGTCCAGTCAGCCCAGAGTGACCAGCAGACTTGAGGTTTCTATGGTAACTAACTGATTAAAACATTAAGGCCTCATTTTGACTTTGCCACATCAAGAATGAACTATATTTATTCTTTCGGAACACTAACTGGATCAACTGAGTCTTTCATAAAGCTCCAGTCACATGTACAGCATTGTTAAAGCCCTGAGTACTGTTTTCAGGCATAGTCTCAGCAGCCTGTCAGGCAGTGCTCTATGGGGTCTAATGCAACTGCTGCTAGCCTGTTAATTTGAGGTGAAACCATGAACACAAAAGGGAAATGTGTCGACTGACTATTTATGATTTTCAGTTATGAATTTGACTGGTTCTCGTGTCTCACATGGATGCAAAGTTTGGACAGATCAGCTGCAGGTTTTTGAGCTTTTCAGAGGATCAAAAATCGAAGAGTAAAAAACAAAACAGTATTTTCAAAACGTTTTGGTGTTTTTTTAACACCACTAAAGGAGAAAATTCCATCTATTGTGTTTAAAACACAAGTGAAAAAAAAACATTTCACAGCAGATACAGAAAATATGTTCATATAAAGTCCATAAGGGTTGCAGCATAATTTGCACTATACGTTTCAATGTGAAGGCACTCAATCTTCTGATGTCTGATATTTTTTTTTAGGTACAGAAAACCCAGTTTACTGCATCACGTACAAGAAGCAGAACAACAGAGATATCCCACTGTGAGGTCAGCTGATAGGTTCACACAAACGCCGAGGCAATGAGTTTACAACTTCATCTTTAGCACAAAAGCATGGCAGTAAACAGAAGGGCAGTGCTTTCCTTCTGTCATCTGAGGTCCAACAGGTTGAGCTTGTAGTCCCTGACCACCACGTGCTTACAGACCTGAGAAGACCAGAGGGGCCAGAGTTATGAAAGGCAGCAGTTTAGTCAAACTCCATTAAATCTACTCAGATTAAAACTGATTTGAAAATGTGCACCGATATAAATTCATCCATCCATTTTCTTCCACTTATCTGGGATTGGCTTACAAAGGTTGCGGCCCAACTAGAGAGGCCCAGACTTCTCTCTCCCCCACCACTTGGGCCAGCTCCTGTGATGAATCCAATGCGTTCCCAGGCCAGCAGAAAAACTTCTCTAGGTTTCCTCTTGGAGGGATGTGCATGGAGCACCTGAACAAGGAGGGGTTCAGGAGGCATCCTAACAGTTGCCAGAGCCATCTCAACTGGCTTCTCTTGGGGTGGAGAAGCGGTGGGTCTACTCTTAAGGCCCTGCTTACATGACAATGATCCAACGAGTATGGAATTTTTGTTCCATTTACATTCTGTGTCTGAAGTTCATCAGATAAGAGCGCTGAACAACGTGTGATTGTTATGAGCGTTGAACAAGCACGCGCATATTTTACCACCTGGGTGGTGCAGAGCAGCGAGGAGATGCTGGGGGAATCGTATCTGATGGGGAAACATGAATTGTCACACCTGCTGGCATTGTCGATAGCTTCTTCTTCTGTGGATTGCAGGAAGCAGTTATGTTGTCATGACAGTGACTAGAATCACAGTCACTATGGTGACTGTGATTCTTTCAGTGATGACATTCTTTTAGTCATTTACTCATGCGGGTAGGAACATAGATCAATTACTATTGCTACTCTTTCTTGAGTGTGTTGATTTTGCATTTAAAGAAATAAATCTATGAACAATAAACTGACAAACTGAAGTCCCCAAGTACAATCCTCAAGAGCTGCTATCCTGGTCTCTGGTGAGACAGGTGAGAAGTGCGCTGGAACAGGAATGCAACTAAAAGTTGCAGGCTAGTAGTAGCTGCGGAGGACTGCAATTGGGAACCCATGAAACAAAGGCTCCTCCGACTGAGACATAGGATGAAACATTTAGCATATGTCACAAGATAAAGATGGGAACAAGAAGATTCTCTCACCGTGAACAGAGGAGGCTCCTTGGAGTGGGGATGGAAACCTTTTTGTCTGCATCCAGAAACTTCCAACATGCCTGCACCAGTGAGTCTGAACACACCCATACTGAGACACACAACTAGGATCAGTGAGGAAGCTAAAAAGTCTCATAGTAAATGAAGTCCAAAGAGTTAGCATACACATACTCATTGTGTTTTGGAGCACAAACGATGGCCAGCGCCTCTGGAAGCATCAGCTGGTAGGAACAGTGAGTGTGAAGGTCCACACTGGACAGGAATGCAGTCTGGGAGGGATGGGTCTGAGTGCACAGGTCAGCTATTAGTCACAGGGACTACAACGCAAGTCAGAGGACAGAGAAACAACAAAACCACAGAATCTCTAAATGTCACAAAGGTTACACAATGAAACCAATAGCTAAGAGAAGCTGAAATGTCCTCTGCTTTGACTTAACAATTTTAGACCCTATTGACACAAAAGCCTTTGTCCCTGGATATGGATATGAATTGGTGGTGTACAATAATGCATCATACTGATATTAGCATGCTTTTGGAATTATTTTGAATTATGAATTAAACTTACACTATGCTGAAGGGGATGAAACATCATTTTTACTACAAACACTGATTTCAGGGTGGTTGTTTTGAAGATTGAAGCTGATTCAGTTAATGATGGACAAGCAATCACTCCAGGATGTCGGGTTAGGACAGGTAATGTATATGTTCAGGTGAGTTTGTGATTGATGTAAGAAGAGGATGTCCAACTCCAGGATTTATCTTCAATCGACTTTAATGAGTTCTTGATGTTCTCCATACATATAGTCACATGCAGTTGGGACTATGGATGGGTGCGTGTATGTGTGTGGTTTATTCAATGGACGCACACAGTAGAAAAGAATAACAGCGAAGCCTGCTTTGAGCCACACCACTTAATACTCAGCTCTATAAACAACATGCAGCAAACACGAACGTGGCCACCTAGTGGCTGAAACAAAATACTACATTTAAACATCTTGATAAAGAACGAAACCAGAGGGCTGAAAACAAATAATTAACTGTCTTTTGTACAGCCGCCCCCAAATTTGGTATGCAAATTTGACCGCTAGGTGTCTTGATCCTCCGGAGGCAGAGCAGGTAGCTTTATGAGACGAGCAACTGGCCGAGTATAGGTCCTGCCTTTGACTTCAACCACAGCCATCCTCACGCGTCCATCTGCTCCAGGTATGGTACTCGTCACCGTACCAACTTGCCAGAGCGCTCTCAGTGTCTGCTGGTCCACAATAAGCACTATAGTGCCTACAGTGATGTCATCCTTCTCCCTTTGGCACTTCTGTCTGATCTGTAAGGTCGGAAGAAAATGGTGGATGTAGTGCTTCCAGAAGTGGTCCGCCAGAACCTGAGAATGTCGCCACCTTTTCCGACTCAAAAGTTCAGACTCGGGATAGACAACCAGTGGAAGGGAGGAGTCTGGCCGCCCCATCAACAAACAGTTGGGCGTGATTGGATCTGGATCGGCCAAATCTGATGAAACATAGCCCAGTGGCCTGGAGTTGAGAATACTCTCTATTTCAATAAGAACTGTTATCAACACCTCTTCCGATACTGACTGAGCTCCCAACGCGGTACGGAGGGCGTTCTTTACTGATCTGACCTCTCGCTTCCAAGGTCCACCAAAATGGGGAGCACTAGGCGGGTTTAAACGGAAACTAATTTGTTGGGCAGCAAGTTGATCCTTCACTCCTTGTTTCAGGGCATCAAAGGCTTCTTGAAGTTCTCTTTCTCCTCCTTTGAAGTTAGTTCCCTGGTCTGAGAGAATCTCATGAGGCTTCCCTCTCCGAGCTATAAGCGTCTGAGTGACATTAGGAACGAATCGGTGTCCATATTTGGTAGGAGATCTAGATGAACAGCGCGGGTGGTAAGGCATTTATACAGAATGCCCCACCTCTTCTCGCTGCGCCGCCCCACCTTTACCATCATTGGACCGAAGCAATCCACCCCTGTGGAATAGAATGGTGGTCGGAAAAGCCTCAAACTGGATGGCGGAAGATCTGCCATCCTTGGGACTTGAGGGCTACCTCGCCATTTCCTACAGTCCACGCAGTTATGCTGATGCTTCCGGATAGCTTCTCTCCCTCTAAGTAGCCAATATTTTCTCCGAAGCTCAGCAAAAACACGCTCCGCTCCTGGGTGGTTAAGCTGTTTGTCATAATGTTGGATCAGGAGCTTGGTGACTGGGTGAGAAGACGAGAGTAGGATAGGATGAATCACATCCGGACCTAGGCTTTCACATCGGCGGAGCCTACCTCCAACACGGATTAGCCCTGAAGTGTGATCATATTCAGGAGCAAGGGTGAGCACTCTACGAGTGGATGGAAGAGCCTTTCCTGATTTGAGTAAGCTCATCTCTTCTGCAAAGTTCACCAGCTGAACCTGTCTGAGGAGGACTAACTCAGCTTTGTGATAATCATCAGCAGTAGGAGACTGGCCACCAGCCGCCCCATTGAGTACTCTTGCGGTTGCCTCTAGTAGCTCTTGGAAGGTGCTAAACTGCTGAATGTCAGGAAGAGTTGGTTGTGGTAAGCTATGTAGACCACAAAATACTGATCTTCTCAACTCTCAATAAGGTGGTCAGTGGGTGATTCAGGCCACTGATCAGCTGTCTGCAAGAGGAAGGATGATCCATGATTCCAACAACCCTGACTAGTCAGTTGGGCTAAGGTTTTTCCTCTGGTGATATCATCTGCTGGGTTGGAGGCCGAATCGATGTAGCGCAAGGATTTGGTATCTGATAGTTCCTGTATCTCCGCAACCCTTGTATCTACAAACACTTTATATCTGCAGGAATTGGATTTAAGCCAATGGAGGACCGTAGTGGAAACGGTCCAGTACACCACATTCTGGATATGGATGGTGAGTTCTTTCAGCAGTGCAGAAGCTAACTGCGCTCCAGTTAAAGCACCACAAAACTCGAGTCGGAGGATTGACAGTTGCTTCTTAGGGGCAACTCTGGATCTGGCAGCTAAGAATGCAACTTGTACTCTCCCATTCCCGTTGTCACTGCGCAGATAAGCTACTGATCCGTAGGCACGTTCAGATGCGTCACAAAACACATGAATAGTCTGACCGTGTTGTGATCAGTATAGCATCTGGGTATGGCAATCTCGGACAACTGAGGAAGCTCTTCTTCCCAGGATTTCCAAGCTTGGAGTAGATCTTCAGGGAGGTTGGGATCATCCCAGCCTCTCTTCTTGTCCCAAAGACACTGTACGATGATCTTGGCTCTAGTTGTATATGGAATAATGTATCCCAGAGGATCGTATTGTTGAGCAAGGAGATGATAGATGTTGCGCATGGTTGGTTCCAGACAGCTATAGTTGTGCTGCTTATAACAGAGTGTGTCTGACTTACACTGCCACAACAGGCCGAGTGTACGTTCTTGAGGGTTAGCTGCTTCTTGAGTGAACCAAAGTGTGCTGCTTTCTGACCTTGATTCCTTTGGTAGGTGTTCGATGACAGCAGGAACATTGCTGGCCCAGTCTCTGAGCTCAAATCCACCTTCCAGAAGTACGGCGTGCAGTCGATTCACCAGCTGCTTGGCTTGATCCTCAGACCGAAGACTCTGCAAATAGTTATCAACATAGAAACAACGTTCTACTGTTTGGCGAGCATCCTCTTCAGGTGCAGTATGTGTCTGAACATGATTCTGTAGTGCAAAGGTAGCACAACATGGACTGCACGTTGTGCCGAAAGGGAGCACTTGCCACTCATAGATAGTGGGTTCCTGATCCACTTTAACATCTCTCCACAAGAAACAAATGAAGGGTTTATCCTCATCCAGCAAACGCACCTGGTGAAACATTCCCTTCACATCGCTACTGATAGCCACAGGGTGTTCTCTGAACCTCAGGAGGACTCCTAGAAGACTGGATCCAAGTGTAGGTCCAGGAATCAGATAGTCATTAATGCTCTGCCGATTAAAGATGAAGGAGCAATTGAAGACTACTCTGTTCTTTCCATTGTGTTGAACAATGTGATGTGGAATGAACCATGACTGGTTGCTCTCCTTCGCCTTGGTTGGGGTTATGGCTTTGACGTAACCAGTGTCGATGAGCTTATGGATTTCTTTGGAGTAGATAGTTGCTTTCTCCTTATCTTTCACCAACCTTTTTTCTGTACCGCGCAGCTGTGGCAGTACAGCTTCTTTAGTTGCATGAAGAAGCGGTTTGCCTCGTTTCCATAGCAATGGAGTCGCATATCTGTTGACACCATCGACCATTACTCTGGTAGTCTTAGCTTCCAGGATGCGGACAGCCTCCGTATCCTCTCTTGATCTGGTAATTAGTCGTTCACTCCTGTATGGCAGAGTGTCCAGCTGCCATAACCTTTCCACATGACTTAGAAGCTCTGTTTCTGGTGGACTACACTTAGTGAACAGGCACTGCTGTGGAGACAGTTGATGACATAAAAGACTAGTGGGGCCTTGTAAAGTCCATCCTAGCCTAGTATGAACTGCCGCGGGTCCACCTGGTGGACCAAGACGTACTGGTTCCACTGGCAGGACCAGATGTGGATAATCCGATCCGATCAATAACAATGGGTGGACATCCTTAATGGATGGCAGTGGAATGTCTCTGAGATGGCGATAACGTGCCTGCAGAGCTTCAACCGGATAGGTATGACAGGCTAGATTTAGCTGCTTCGCCGTGAATGCTTTGTTGACCTGGTATGACTTACTAGGCTGTGAAGCAGAAGAAATCGAAAAGGAGACAGTGTTACCGTTGATGGTGCAAACCTCTTGCCGGAAAGTCCGGAGTGTGAGATCTTCAGACTTTCCTTTCAGACTGTTGGAATAATTGTATATAAGTTATCCCATGTATTGTTTCTTGTCTGTTGTTGAGTTGGTGCGGCCCGGTGTGAAGTGTGTGCAAGAGTTGGTTTAACAGCAGGAGAGGAAGAGCTGTAAAGATCTCAACCAGATGGCTTTAAACTATTTAGTGCAGGTCAAGAGGTCGCACCAGCAACCAGTTATTGTTTTTCTTACTATGTATGTTGGAATGTGTTTATCTCTGAGTTGCAGCCATTTATTACCCTTCCCCCTATAGAGGCTGTGACTCTTGTGTAACCAGGGTAACCTAAGGACAATAAAAGGCGTTGAGAGCCAAGACGTACTCAGAGTGTGTTGGAGATTGTAACTGATGTACGTCTCTGGGGCACTCTCCTCGCGAGTAAAAACTTAACTAATATGTTCTGTCTTTCTTTCCAGGTAGTGTTTTACTAATGTTAGGAGTTTAAACCTGACACAGACCCAAGCTTAGAGCAGCATCATGAAGGAGTATTGTGCGCTCTGATCCAACATCCAGAATTGCGTAGGTTTCCAGTAAATTCGGACCGCTTTGGAGGATAACAGGGCACAGTTTGAGTAATACTTGGTTGCTTCTGACTGGTTGATCAATGTACAACGTCTCGGAGACAGAACTCACTAAGCATGTGCTAGGCTGAGGTGCTTGATGTTCATCAGTTGTCCTGCTGATTTGTTTGGTATTAACCTCGTGCAGGATATCCAGGTGCCTCCTTTCACACCGTTTACATTTGGCTTGGAGATTGCACCTGATAGCTTGATGTTCCTGACCGCAGCGCCAGCATCGACTGTTTGCTTTAATCCACTCAGTCCTCTGCTCCACTGACAGGATTTTGAAGTTGCTGCACTGGTTCAAATAATGAAGCTCCGTATCACAGAAGGGACAATATTTCTTTGGTTTGTCCTGAGAGATCTCCTTGATAGCTGGAGTCTTATTTGATCTCATTTTAGCTGAGGGAGCCTGGTTTCCAAGTAGAATCGTTGCAGACCTTTGGGGTTTGACATCGGGATGTGGGCTCTTGTGTGGAGCTTGTCTCTCTCTAGCGGAGGCACTGCTATATTGATCATCACTGACTTGAACTCGTACTTCGTACTCAAGCCAGTCAGCCAGGTCCAGCAGGGTTGGAACTGGAGTTTGCACTGGGTTCACAAATCTGTGAAAGTGTGCTCTCAGATTGTGTGGCAACTTCACCAGGAGACGAGAGACATGTGATGCACATCTCAATTCTGTCCATCCTTGGTTTCCAAGTTGTTGCAGCATTCCTACTAAGGCACGGACTTGAAGGGCAAAAGACTTGAATGCTTTAATGTCTGCTGGTCGGATATTGGGACCGTCCATCAGATCAGAAATCCTCTTCAGTGCCAGCTGCTGTGGTTGACCATACATTTCGGTGAGCGCTTTCATAGTGTCCGTAAATGGGATTGGACTGTTACTATACGAGTCGGCTATAAGTAGCGCTTCTTCACACTTCAGATGGTCTGTGAGTATTTGAAACTTAAAATGCTCTGGAGCATCATATGGGAGCAAGTTGTCGAGGACTAGTTTCAATCTGGCAAACTAGCGTGGGTCCTCGGACTTGAAATAAGGGATAGTTGGTTTAGGACCATGGTAGGACTCTAACGCTGATGGTTTACTATGAGAAGGGGATTGGTGGGGGGGATGTTGGCAGTCAAATGAGTATCTGCCTCCACGACCCTTCTCTCCGTCACATTCATAACGTGATGGCTGGCGATCCCGGTTAACAGGAGATTGTTCCCTGCCTGGTCTGTAGTAGCGACTTTCATGATGGTCACCTGGACTACCTGGTCGACTGAACCTTATAAGTTCATCCTCCTCATCAAGGTTGGGATGACTTGACTTGAATTGAGAGGCATCATAATAGCGTTGAGATCTGTCATCATGGTGATAGGGCCCGTTATAGCGATCGTAGTAATCCTCATAGTTGGGCTTGTACTTGACATCAGATTTGGATGCTGCTTTAAGATGTGGCCTTTTGCTATCACATGATTTATCACAAGCCTTACGATGTGATTTACACTCTCTTTGATGTGACAACTCTGGTTCCAGATGATCATCAACATCAGAATCCATAGGCTTGGCTTGGGAGACAAACTCCGAGATGTTGCAGGAGAAATGTCGTCTTTACTGATTAATCCCACTTCCTGCAAACAGCAGTCAAGGTCCTCCAAGGGGCCACATCTGTTGCTTTGTGAAGATGGAGGAACATCGTCGATCAACGGCGGGGCAATTACTGCCTGACGTGGACCTATGTGGTCACTGAACGGCGTCGGCTTATTTGTAAGTGCTGTTGTAGATGTGTCCTCTTCCCTGAACTTGGACTGTGGGACCTGTCTTGGAGATTGCTGGATTATATCTGTAAGACGCTGAACCTCCCTGCGTAGTTGGTTACTTTCTTCTCTCATGCTCCGAAGACATCGCAGCACTTCTGATGAAGATGGCTGCTCCTCCTCATCAATGTGGTGCCTAGGTGCATAGTTGACCTCATAAGTCTGGTGATGTGGTGCCATACGTCTCGATCTTTGCAGATGGTTTACATCTCTCACATTTGTCTCATATGACCTTGACATATTGACTGGCGTGGTTGCCAACTCCGGCTCGAAGGACCAAATTGTTTTGAAGATTGAAGCTGATTCAGTTAATGATGGAGTAGCAATCACTCCAGGATGTCAGGTTAGGACAGTTAATGTATATGTTCATGTGAGTTTGTGATTGATGTAAGAAGAGGATGTCCAACTCCAGGATTTATCTTCAATCGACTTTAATGAGTTCTTGATGATCTCCATACATATAGTCACATGCAGTTGGGACTATGGATGGGTGCGTGTGTGTGTGTGCTTTATTCAATGGACGCACACGGTAGAAAAGAATAACAGCGAAGCCTGCTTTGAGCCACACCACTTAATACTCAGCTCTATAAGCAACATGCAGCAAACACGAACGTGGCCACCTAGTGGCTGAAACAAAATACAACATTTAAACATTTTGATAAAGAACGAAACCAGAGGGCTGAAAACAAATAATTAACTGTCTTTTGTACAGGGGTGTCACTAAATGTATACTTGAGTGCCTGCCAGAGCACCTCTTAAAGCCTTCCAGAGTGAGGATGGAAATAGGAACTGAGGCTGATCTTGGATTGCTTCAGTACTTTATTTTCCTCACACTTTAACAAATAAGTGTATGGTTTCTTAGAAGAAATCATATGACAAAAAGAATCAATAAATCTATTAATTTACTTAAATTACAAATTTAAGTTTGTAATTTAAATTTGTATACCAGTTGTTTCCAAACCAAGTAGGGCAACAATCACACTACAACCTTATTCTGTTTATGTCATGTTACCATCAATAAACTAGGCGTGTCCCGATCCAATTATGTGATTGGAAATTGGACCATTACGTAGTTTCAGACTAGCTCAGAATTGGGAGTATATACATACATCATGATGGAATCTAAACTGAACAGCTTCTCTGTGACGTCTCTCAGATATATGCTGCCAATCAATCCCACAAATCAACACTGACATAAACACAGATTATAATAAGATTAATAACTTAAAACTATAAATCACTGACTTTGGAGCCTTTTATACAATTGCAGAAAGCAACAACTATGCCTCTGTTCCTATCTCTGGCCCACTCTCACTCCTCTCATCCCTTCCTGGACCACATGTACTGTTGCCAGAGTAATACAAGCTGATGCAAATGAAGGCGAAGCAGAGGGAAAAACTCAGGTCTTTTTAAAAGCCAGGGCTGAGTGGGTGTAGGCTGTGAGAGGACACTTAGTGCTCTGTATAAGAACCTATGGTTGATAAGAACAGAACAACTAAATACTTTCGGAAGTGCCATATTAATGTGTCGTCATACATGAATCCACCCCAGTGTCAGCAGATTCTGTTGGTCCTGGAATCCAAATAGCTCCTCCACATTCTCCATATCACAGAAATCCGGTCCAGCTGATTGTTTTGGGATCACCACATGAGTCAGCACAAATTCGTTATGGGTCTGAGAGACACACACATTCAGAGAGAACCTTTTCAGGTTTTGTTTTCTTGCTTTGTTGAGAAACATTTTTCCTTGCTACCCAAAAACTCACCAACCGTCCACAGAGGACACCGCAGGTTTCTATTCCTCTGGCCGTGTTGGAGTCGGCCAGCAGGAGGAACCGATGTGTCAAATCTCTGGGAATCACCACTTGCCTCAGACCCTCCACCCTCTGATCTGCACAGATGAAAACAACTCACACTGAAGCCTTAAAGCTCTGTTTATAATAATATGTTTAAGATTTGCACTGCGATCCCTTAGGAACAAACACCAAAAGGTTTGAGAACTCCCTCTGAGTCTGGCCCTGCTTGGCTTCAGACAGATTTAATTAGCAGTTGGAGCAGAAAAACCATGTGCAGCTGTGTGTACTCACTGTGTATTCCTGCTAACGCGGCAACTGGTTGGGTCACAGTCACAGACCTGTTTCTGTTTGGGTCCAACCTCTGAGAATATATGCTGCTTTTGATCGACTGCTTAGACAAACAACAGCCATCTGAGACCTCAGGCACTTTGGTCTGCACCTGCAGGAAACCACATTCAGCAGCACCATGTACTACAGATACATAGTGTAACACAAAGTAATATACATTACCACACAGACCCCTACAAAGTACCACTCACAATACTTCAAAGGGTATAAACACATAGTACTACAGAGTACTACAGAGAATTGTAGTACTCCACAAAAACACACTACCGCAATGTGTTTTCCATTTCTAAAAATGTACTGTGCAGTACTAGAGAACACTACACACAGAGTACTTGACTATCACAGGATAATACAAAGTATCTTAGAGTATTACAAAGTACTACACAGTAAAGCAGTTCTACTGAGTACGAAGCAATACTAATGGCTACCAGATGGTATTTTATAGTAATAAATAAAATAAAAACATTACTACACGTTACTATACATCTACAATAAAATATAGTACTAAATATATATTGCAGATTGTTAAAAAAACAACAACTATATATTACTTAACACTAACGAGTAACTCATCAACCAGACATTACTTCACAATGGCGCACAATAGGAAAATCTAAAGCACCTTCAGTGCTGCCTCCTCTCCTCTCTTATTCGCCAGCTCCTGACGCCTCAGCTGATCCTCAAAGTAGCGAAACTGTTCTGACTCTATCTGCATCCGTCGCAGTGCTGCTACTCGCTGCTTCTCCTCCTCCAGCAGCAAGAGGCGCTGCCTGTCCTCGTCAAGCAAAGAGAGTTGCTGCAGGTGCTGACCACACCCATCCACCACCATGGCCTGGCCCTGAAGAAACAGTTGGATCAGACTGGTGAGCTCTAAATGCTAATAGAAGTCTCTTCCTTACTGATATACAGTTTTATGTTTACAGACACAAGAGATCCATTATTGATCCAATAAACTAGTAGACGTAACTCAATCTGATCACCATCACTGATCAACAGGTTACATTCACTCTCCATGGAGAGGGCATTACCCACAATCATACCCAGTGATATACAGTCAGGGGAGGCCTGTCATTGTGGAAAAATAATATATAATGCTAACATCATTTATATTGCTATTTTCACCCTGAGGTTTGTATTATAAAGTATTTATTTTTCATTTAGCTTAACCAATTTTGATTACTTTTTTCTTCAAAATTGCTGAATTTTGATATTTTCCCATTCATTTACTCAACAAATCATAACCTATAATCAACAGAGAGATGTGGAAAAACTGACAGATGTCTGAGGACAACTATGATCAAACTAGTTACCTTATCTGATTAACAAGATAAACACTTAAAGGGGCAGTATTATGTAAAAGCTTTACATAATGTATTATGTAAAGCTCATCAACTACATACTCATCAAAAACATACTTCGAGTGTTGCCTTGATTTTTTCATGCATGTTTGAGAAATCCTTTAATGTCCCATAGCAGACATTCAGTTGTGCAAAACGCTTGGTGGAACTAAGATTAGAAGACTGAGCTTCTGCCTCATAGAGCATCCCTCCCCGACGACTCCTTCAGACTAGCCAGAACCAATTAGGAAACACCTGGTGAACCTGTGCATCTGCTGAGCTCATTATATGAGCTACCTTTAGTGCAACACTGGTAAAAATGTTGCTAAAGGGTTAATAGAGGAGCGCTGTTGTGATGACTTCCTAAAAGTGGAATTTCACACACACACAAACACACCTGCACTCTGAGGTACTCTGAGTGCTCCTTGCTGTATTTCTCCTGAAGACGTTTTTTCAGCGCCTCCTTCCGAGGAAAAGCGACTTCTTGGAGTTTCTGCAGACACAGAGAGTCAACATAAGCCAGCACTACAATAGGAGCCTAGATCAGTGTGTGGACTGGAATGGCAAATAGGAACAAACACCAAAAGGTTTGTGTCCAATATGGAAGTTATTCCACCATGTGGTGTAGTGATGGATCAGTCATAAACGTTTTGGATCAAAAGGTGCTTTTCTGCTAGTCCACCCCAGCCAGATTTATTTTCCATTAGCAAATCCATAAAATCTGCCAGATTGTTCTCGGATTTTGGTAGAACTTAGTGATAAGCTGGTCACAAACATTTCGGCTCTAAGAGCTGGCTATTGCTGAGAGCTGTTCTTCATTATAGGGCCAGGCTACACAGCAGCACAACTGCTGTTGAAAGGGGCAGGGATTAGGTGATGTCACCAATTGACTATGTGAATGTGATCAGTGCTGGTCTGTAATGACAAATAAGATGTCTGATACAGCTGTGTCCTATGTGGAAGTTGTTCCACCATGATGTTTCATGGCAACTGGGAGGAATCTGGAGAGAGAGAGAGTGAGACAGATCTCCGATTACTCGATTAATCATGAAAACAATCTATAGAGTACTCGATTACTAAAATATTATTTTACAACAGGTGAAAACAAATTTCATGATTGTTTGTAAAAAATATGGCTTGGGGCTGATGTTTCAAAGAATTCTAGGGGTTGCTGTGGAGGAATTAGGCCAAGTCCACCAAATATTGGACTGCAGTCTAGAATCGATCATAGAGAGTTTGGTGCAGCTTGGCTGAAATATGTGGAATTAAGAATTTTGTCCCACGCTGGAGGGACTATGTTTCTCGGCTGGCCTGGTAACTCCTCAGGATTCCCCTGGAAGAGCTGGAAGAAGTGGCTGGGGAGAGGGACATCTGGGCCTTCCTTCTGAAGCTGCTACCCCCACGACCCAACCCGGATAAAACAGAATAAAATGGACGAATGAATAGATAAATGGATGCATTCAGGAGAATGGCAGTGCTAGAATTATACTGAAGAAAGGTGAAGAAGCTCTGGTGAGATCTTCATTTAGTTTTTTGAAATATGTATTGACCACTTTTAAATTTTAAATAGACCAAAGTATTTTATTATGAGAAGAGCAGAGCAAGGAAGGCATAGGAGAGTCAGGTGAAGTTTCAGGGTGTGAAGATATAAAAATTATATTAATTTCAATAAAACCAGAAAGGAGAACAGGTGAGGACTGATGTCAGGTTGATTTCGTTCAATGTTTCTGTTGGAGAAATTGTGATATTATTAATCAATTATTTGTTATTCTCATTGATCTTTATAATGTATATTTATTTTATGCTTTCCTTAAAGTTAATCTCATTATAGAATTAAGAATGTTCCTTGTATTGTTGATTTACTCTGATTCCTTTCTCAGAAGGCCTCACTGACAGAGAGCAGAAACAAAATCTTCCTGCAGGTTTACCTCTTGGTGAAGAGCTCTGCTTTCGGTTGAGTTGCTGGCCTCCAATAAAACCATCATTGATCACTACATATTTTATTAATCTTTGTGCCTGGAAGGAGATTATCTAGTGCAGAATGACTGTGTGTTAGTTAGTGAATAACATTTGACGCTGTAGCTGTTTGCCCCCTCCCTTTAGAGCTACAGCGTCCTTGTGATTAGGGATCCTAGAAATAATAAAAAGAGAGGAGCAGACAAAATATGCTTCAGAGCGGTAGGAGATTGTAACTGAAGCACATCTCTGTCCGTTCTCCTCGCGAGTGAAAAATAATCTAACTCTTTTGTCTTTTCTGTCTTTGTTAATGTATGTTTAACAGGTGTTAACCCTAACATTTTTGGTCCTTCGAGCCGGAGGTCATATACTGGAAAGATTCCAGCAGGTGTGGTGGACCCCAGTAAGACCGTGCGCACGGCAAGAGAACCTGTTAAAGGACTGGGCTCGGCCTGCCTGCTGGGATCTGAAGGTTGACGACACTCCAGGGAAAGACAAGAGAGGGTGAGTGATTCTTCTTTAAAGGTGGCGAATGACGTTTTAGAGAGTAAGTCATTCTTCTGTGTGAGAGAAGAGTGACTTCTTCTTTGACTGAAGGTTGTTGCACGCACAAGTGAAAACCCTGTCAATTCTAGACTCTAACAGGTGAAAATAGTGCACAAAATCCGTGGATAGGCTAACGGAGCCTGGCGCTGCAAGGCTGGAGGCCTTGTCCTGTTCTGGGCAACCAACAATTGTACTATTGTGGGCAATGATAGCAGCCCAACTAATACTAGAACTGTTCTGGGTAATAGTAGCCCAAATAACTAATACCAGCACTGTTCTGGGTAATAACAGCAACTCAAATAACAATTGTACTATTGTGGGTAGTAACAGTAGTCCAACAAAATGCCTGCACTGTTTTGGGCAGTAACAGCAGCCCAATTACTAATTGTACTATTGTATGTATATTACTGTGTAGTTCATGTTGTAAATACATGAATCCATGCACGGACATCAAGCTGCAGAGAGTCAGAGCGAAGAAGAGACAATAACACACATCAGTAGATATTTTAGTTAAATGTTTGTGGCTGAAAATGACAGAAAAAAAACATTTAGGCTTTTGCCTCAGTGTTTTGCATGGCTCATGTTTAGTAAGTCGCTGAATGCAGGGCTGGAAAGTGAGACTGAGTTGTCAGTGGGGAGCTAAAGGTCTGTTACATGTGAAAAGTCTCATTTTTATTTATTTTGTAGATCAAACTGTTGCGCTGATGTAGACAGTTATTCAAGAAGAACAAAATTTGTTTTTTTAGATTTTATTTTTCTTGGTCAAGATGTTGAATTGAGTTTAGAACTGCTGAGTCCTATATTTTGAGCTGTTTTTTTTTTACTTCGGTTTTAGAAAGAGGCAGAACCTATTCAATTTCCAGTCAACTTATATCAATGCATTTTAATCAATAATCAAATGTCTGCTACCAGAGTGTTTAGCTTGCTAGTTGCAAGGCAAATGATAAAGTGAGTGTTCAGTCTTGGAATGACAGTCATTTTGCTACATAGATGCATAACTTTAATCTGATTATTGGATTGTAAATAGTAATGTGTTAGCATACTTGTTACTGAAACAAGAGCCAGATTAGAGCAACGTGTTACTCATGTGTTGATGGTACAATTGTTTATGACATTTCTGTTCAAGCTATTAACTGATCTGTCAGGTTTCCGATATGCATCCCCCCAATGACAGACTCGTTCTTTCGCCCTTGCTTCTAACAAAAACTATTTGTGTTTTAAAGCAATTGGGAGCGAATCATCTGTCTTCTGACACAAGATCATCTTGATTTGCTCAATGGGGTCAGAGATGGAGCTTTCCAAGAAAAAAAACTGTAATTTCCTATTATGAGGGGGCAGGGCTTATATATCAGAATATGATGACATGGGGCCGTCAGGCATGCAACCAGAATCACTCGTGCAGCATGATCCATTTTTGTCCTTGTTTTTTCTTCATTCATAAGTTACTTGGTGTGGGTAAAGTAACCATGAATTCAATCAATGATGAATAAAAAGAACAGTGTCGTAAAAACACTCATAAAAGTAAGTAAATGTGACTAGTTACTACCCACCTCTGTGGCTCAGTTCCCTCTGTAAAGTTAAAACGCTGAGGATTTCAGGGCTTAAGATCAAAAAGGTGCACCAAATCTGATTCTAGCAAACTTGCTGTCCATATGAATTCATGTGCTGGTGTACATTTATGCATAGATACATAACTTTCTGTAATAGAGTCTTGGGAGAAGAGCTCACTACCTTCATGATGAGCTGCTTCTCTGGGATGGCCGAACACTGTTCGTAATCCCTGTGGTTTGGCAGCTTCTCCACAAACAGCCTGAACAAAGGAAGATTGAAATCAACTTCCTTCTAGTTAAAGACCATCCCTGGCACACAGGCGTCCCCCCGCAAGTGTTCCTCACGTGATGAGCTTGGTGTAGAGGACATATGCATTCTCCAGGCTGCCCTCCTCCAGGTAAACTGCTGCCATGCGCTCCATCTCCACTCCGGAGCGAAAGTAGCGTCTGGGTTCGATATCCTCATTAATCTCTATGCAGCATCCCATTTTTGCCAGAGCTCGCACACGCTCTGCTGCTGTCAGCGTCACATCAGTGTAGTCTGGTTCCGCTGCCAGCTTCTTCTTTGAAATAGAAATCAAAAAGAAAGATTTAACCCTAATCACTGAGACTTTTACAGTAACCATGGTAACCATAGCAACAGTATGCACAGAGAAAAGTGTCACTATCTGTGTTTGAATGGTACACTGAATATTTTGAACCACAAACAATGAGCTGGAACCCTGTTTCCTTCCAGATTCATTGAAAGCATGAATGCAGCGATTGTTCTTCAGTTCATTAAAGTGAAGAGAAGGATGTGTCATTCATCCACACAGAAAGGGCCCTCAGAGTAAGAGACCTAATGGTTTAAATGATCAAACATGTATGTTAAAAACGGGGCATCTAAGGGGAAGAAATAAAGTCATGACGGAATTGTTTTTCAGGTTTGCAAGGGCTGCTGCCTTTGCTGTCCAGCTTTTGAATCGGTTTGTTCCACAGGAAAAACAATTATGAAAATTCAAGGTTTAAATAAAAGATAGGCTTATGTATAAAAATAATTACTCAAAACTACCTTAGCTAGCAAATTTAAACTAACTTACAGTGTAACCACACCATGTTCCAAATTATTATGCAAGTGAAATTTTCTCAAATTTTCTTAAATTGGTCAATTTAAGAAAATCTGGTCAGTATAATTTTCAAGTCATGAACTATTACAGTATAAATGAAATTTCACTGAGCAAAGCTCCCCAGGAGAACAGCATTTTTTCCAGTTTATGGGTCGAGTTTCTACGATCTACATGCATGTGCACATTAACTCTGTCTCAGTAAATGGACAAAGCATTTGATATGGTTTGATGCATCATGTAAACAGAGAAATAATAATAAAATAATATAAAACCTGCGTGATGCAAGACTGCGGGGCAAACGCGAAAGCTCCTCACCAAGCTGGACCAGCATGATGAGGTTAGCACTGGTTTGGTAATCACTAACGCACCGACCAACCCGTGATCATAGACATAAACTTTATCAGCGCTGGGCAGCATGAAAAAGTCAAACAAAATTCTTTGTTCACATATATAAATCATTCTCGCTCAACGCACTTCTGAACACACCACCAAAAGTTATTGCTGTGGTTCACGTAGAGCTGCGCAACCAGAGCTAACGCGGTGGGGTTTTAAACTCTTACCTTGAAATGCAAATTATGAATGCAGTGTCACCAAAATTACACTTTAGCCTCTGTTTCACTCCCTCAGTTCACTAAAGTTCAGGGGTTGACCAAACCATAATAAAGGTTAACAAGACAAACGCAGGGGAGTAAATGAGAAGTAATGTAAATGAACAACCTTTGTGAACACTTCCAGGGAGTTCGGAAGGTTTGGGGATAAACTTTGAAAATTGTTTTCTCTAACTTTTGGAATCCAAACTTCTAACATTCAAATGGTCATATGCTCTACAAATATTCCTATTTATTTTTATGTCATTGGAAAGCTTAAAATCTACACTTTTAGAATCTGTAAATAACTCAAAACGCCACCGAGTAGATTTGTTCCTACTTTTGCTGTGGCCAGTCACAAATATCAGCACACACAAATGTAACTCACCAGAGATTTTATACTTAAAGCCTGATCCATGCCGAGTTGGGTGTGTCAGCAGTTGACCTGTTGTTGGTTTGCTCATCAGCCAATGCCCATGATGCTTCACTACAGGAGAGACAGAAACAATTTATCAACAAAGATGTTTGGATGGAAAGTGATTTTACAACCCAGCTCAGCCATGTCATCACACATCTGAGTAAAGCTCATCCTTCAGCATTTTTCCAATCTGACAAAAGGTCAGTGTGTTATTTTTCAGCTAGCATTTAAAAATAAATGTATAGTTTTGTGTGTGAGGTGTTCAAAGGTAAACCTGGACAATACCAGCCATTCTCTGTACACTGTCATCAGCAGACATCAGATTCAGTGGAAGACCAAATCTGTGATTCGGTCTTCCACTGAATATGATTTTCTGTCTGCTGATGTCAGTGTACAGGAACTCCTTTGCCCGTTGTGCAATTAAACTGTTTAAATGCTCAGTGAGGTGAGGAGGAGGGTTAACAGGAGTGCAGCAGAAACAAATGCACTATAAGATTGGGCTATTAATGTAAACGTAAGTATGTAATGTATATGTAAGACCGCTATGTGGGAGTTAGAATGATACTTCCACGACGGAAAAATCCTAAAGGGATTATTAATAAAGTCATATGTATATAAATCTACCCAAATCAAAGTAATCTGCGATGACAAACCTGTTTGTGCTGAGAAATCTGTTTGTGCAACCACAATTTTTAAAACATTAAAGTATGAGATACATATACAGACAGTCATGGCTCCCTCTGAGACTCACAAATAAAAGGTACATCATTAAGTACATGTTTTTGCAGCATAGACTTACCAAAACAGAGCACAAAGGCTCTAATATTCTTCATCTGATGCTAACCAGTGAATAGCATCAGATGATTACATCATTTACACACCTGCTAACATTATTTAATTAGGTCTGCATGTTTACAGTTAACAATAGTGACCCCACTATTGCCAACTCAGCGACTGTTTTACTAAATTAAGCGACATTTCAGACAAAAAAAATTGGTATTGGCCAAAATCAAAATCAGCAGGTAAGACTTTTTAAAGATCAGCATTTGACGATCGACCAGAATACTACGACCGGTGCAGCCCATTCATAGGTTTGATGCCCTTACAGTGGCACACACCTATATTTATTTTAAAAACACTAGGTGGGACACATTTTGGCATCCAAAGATGGCTCACGTATTCTTGGGAAAAGGAAAAAAATCAACTCGATCTATGACATAGGAGCTGGACAGTTAGAAACGTTATTCAAGGAGGAAACTGTTCCCTGGGCATTTGAATATGCGTATTGTATTGTTCTATTGTTAATGGAATACATACACACATATTCATTCTTTGATTAAATTAATTTATCTCAAGTGTAATTACAAAAGCTAAAATTTTTATTTATACCAGGAGTCTTTCTCACCAGAGAATGTGGACCCATGCTGATCTGATTCTATGCCTTCAATCAATTTTAATTGGACAAGTTTTACATAACATAGAAGTTAATATAAAAATGTTTATTTTAGATACATAAATGATCAACAGCAAAAAACATATCTCCAACTACATCTTAGAGTAGCTCAATGAAATATAAATACAATAGCCATGTAGCCTAATAGAAAACATTTTGCTAGACAATGTCAATTATTATTATCAAATGTTATCAAACATGCCATTTTGAAGTTTCTATTAAAAGCTCCACAAATTTTTCTGATAAATATTATGGTACCAAGGCATATTAAAAAAAACCTTTGTCTTTGCTTTTTTTCTATTCCTCCTCTTTCTTTTTTTTTCTCTCTGAAGTATTTAATCTTTTTTGTGACATTGTTTTGATAACTTATCCTCCACATACACTTTGGAGGTTTGGATGTTCTCCACAGGGCAGCTCATATTACCATTCAGTGCAGTACCTACCTTGGCCACCAGGGGCCCCCCAAAAGCAATTCTCTCCCCCCCCTTTTGTCCATATAAGACAGATTTCTACATACATGACCAAATATATATTATTGTAAAAAAAAAAAAATCACAACTTTATAATGAAGTCGTGTGTCTTTGTTAATATAGTTACATAGGAATCATTACTAAAAAATGTTTAAATCAGTTCCACTTTGGGGGACATAGACGGCCGCGCAGCTTGCTTTTGCCTTGGGCCGGCCCTGTTTACAGTGACACATTAAAACTGGCCTCAACTATTAATTATCGCGTTTTTTTTTTTTAAAAAGGGTTCAATATTTTATTCTTCTGATTTCTTTGTCCTCAGACCACAACAAACATATTGAGACATCTGTTGAGGAATCAGATGGAGACCCATCAATCAATCACTCAATCAATCAACAGGTGGCGCCCGGCTGTGATATTTGAAGGGAGCAGATTTTTGCAGTACGTCTGGTTTAAAGGATTCATAAAAACAGTATAATCGGCAGCTCATAGATAGATACCAACTGAGATTCACCGGGTTCAGCTCTAGCGGACTCCAGCACAGATTTACCGGGTGCTGCTCGCTTTTCTGTCCGAACAGTGTCTGCATCCCAACAGCTGGTTCAGCAGAGAGGGGTCCAGCGGAGAGGGATCCAGCCCAGAGGAGTGTGATGACAGCCGGTTTCAAAGGCGAGGAGCCTCAGGTTCGGCAGCACAATGAAGCAGGTGTAAAATGGCTGAAAGCTCGGATGCTGCTGCTGCAGACTGATGGAGGCAACAAAGATCGTCTTTAAGCTAAAACGACCCACTACCTCGATTTTTTTTTTTTGCCACACGCCCACACATACCATGAGTTCTGTGCACATGCGCTTTGTATTAATAGAGATAGGAAAGATTGCAAGATAACTCACGCTTTTTACATGCTGAGGAACAAACCAAGTCAAACTGGTTTAGTTTGATCATCTGCGGAAGCGTATTGCTATCACAGAGGAAAACTATAGAGCGCTATCGCGTTATAATATGATACTTATCTTGTATAAATCTGATGTTGTATAAACGTGATACTTATCTTGTGTAAACGTGATATGTATAACAGTGATTCTTGAGAAGAGGGACAAAACAGGTCTTTATGGATAAAGCACAAAATTTGAATAAAATATACACAAAATATATATTTTTTAAATATCTGACTAAACTGACCTGGGCCACGTGAACACAACAATGTATATAACTGGTGTTTGCTGAACATTTTTTTGTTTAAACATTGTAGTAGGTGGGTGGTGTCTTTAAAATCCCTTGTCCTGGAGCAAAACCCAATACATTATTACAGTTTAAAACAATTAAAGAAATACTAAGATAATATATTATGACAATTAAGTATAAGTATTAAAATAAATATAAAAGTATCAATAAATTGAATTAAAAATCATTTTTATATGTTTTACAACTCAATTGAAATTTGTCTCAAGTTTTTGTCAACACCGTCAGACATAAAAAGAATGTAAAAAAAATCACAAAAAGGGATCATAAACTGTTATTTAAGAGAAAAACGCCATTTCTTTTAACAGAGAAGGGGGTTCGGGCATTTGTAACCATTTAGCAATGCTGAAAATAAAAACTGCCATTTTCAGACGTTGGCGTCACATTCCTGTTTCTGTCCTTTTTGCCACTAAGGAACCCTTCTCAAACTTCTCAATGTTGGAGACGTTTCAATTTCTAGCAAAATGTTTTCACATCAAGCTACATGGCCTCTACTTCGATGAACTACTCTATGCTGTAGCTGGGGATATGTTGTTTGCTGCTAAGCAAAATCATTTTGTAGCTTAGAAGTTGATTATTTTTACATCAACTTCTAAGTTCTGTGAAACTTCTGTTAAAATCATTTGAAGGCTCAGAATCAGCTCAGTACCAGTCCACATTCTCAGGGGAGAAAGATTCATCTGGTACAAATTAAATTCTTAGCTTTTGAAGTTACAGGTAAGAGAAATTGATGTAATCAAAGAATGTCATAAATATGTGTGTAGGGCTGCACTGATTGACGTTTTCTGGGTGATCCCAGATTACCAATCTTTAAAAAGCCTGACTTGCCAATTTTGATTCTGGCTGGTATGATTTAAATGTAGCAAGAAAGTTACTGAGTTGGCAACAGTGGGGTGAATATTGTTAAGTGTAAACGGTGGGGCCTGACCTGGTCTGTCAGTCAAACCTCTCACTGTAGAGCAGAAGAAGACAGAGGCTGATTTATAAACGTCTGCTGATGAAGATAAGATTAGCTTCACATGTACATATCAGCAGATCATGATCCCCCAAAATTCAGGAAATCCAGTACACATTGTTAGAAAAACTAGTAGGCCCCAAAACTAAATTTTGCTTAGGGCCGCATGGAGGCTTGGGTCGGCCCAGTGTCAGTACCACACAGTTACTCGCGTCGCGCTGAAGTAGACCCCACAACCACAGGTGAGTCTGATGTTCCCTCACCATCAGTAGTGGGAGTGGCATCTAACGACTTAATAAGTATTCTGGCTAATGGCTGAAGATACCATGCTCACATCTAAGTGTTAAATAAATGCAAATAAGTCTGATTAAAATAACAATACTAAACATCTGATCATTTCCAGATAGATCAATAAGTGAAGGTCTTTATGCCTATACCACATTATTCACTATCCACTTCATTGGTGACTGCTGATGTCAGATCGTGTAGGCCTATCCACCTAAAAAGATCTGACGTCAGCAGATCTTTGTGTGGGGGTGAGGGATGAGTATGTGTTGATAACTACTGAGCTAAGGTTTTTCCTGAGCCTTCAGTAAAATGCTTAGCCTCTCCTCCTCCCGCTAGCGCAATGTTTCTCAGTTCCAGTCCTGGGGACCCCTGCCCTGCATGTTTTAGGTATTTCCCTTCTTCCACACCTGGATTGAATCTGTGGGTGATTAAAAGGCTTCTGTAGTTCTTGATGACTGCAGAAGAGGTCATGCAGTCGTTTGGATCAGCTGTTCTGAAATAGAGGCACACCTAAACATGAAGAGCAGGAGGGCCTGAGGACTGGAATTGAGAAGCCGCACTGCGTTAGCAGCTGCAGAAAAGCAATTCTGGAGCCGCCACTGAACAGTAGGTGGCGGTATGCACCTTAAAGTTGCTTGTGATCCGCCAGTAAAGAAAAGAAGACGACGAATATGATGATACGTGTAGGCCTATCGCAAAGAAAATAAAGCGATGTCGGAACACGGAAAACAGTTTCTTGCGTTTTCTTCAAGTAACACAACAGAAACTTCCTCCGTGTATCCAGCAAACGTTTGAATCACATCAAGAAACAAGTAGAGCAGAAGCTTTTAATATGAAACGTTGGACCGGAAGTATTCCCGCTGACGTTTCGGGGCGTTGACGCACATTCCAGGTGTGTTGCTGCCGTCATGGGGATGGTTTACTCGCAGGTAAGTTGAAACCGTTCACATTTTTCTCCCGAACTGATCCTCCAATTCGTTTACTTCTCATATTTCATTCTGCGTAATCCGTTCAGATTACGCGCCGCTCGCCCGCCTGAGTTCCGTCTGGTTCACAGGTGTTGCGGTCGGATAGGAATATCTTCCTCCCGGTCCAGGTGATCCATCAGTTTCTGTGACGGAAGGGGGCAATAGCATTCAATAGTTCTTCAACACCAGCGAGAAGAAGAGTAATTACATAAACTGCGTAAATACTGACGCGTGAGGTCTCACGTAGCTATAAGAGTGCGCAGCTTTCATTCTTTTAAAAACTGCCATATGGACAAAAAAAATTGTGACGTATAAAGCCGTACTGCGCACCTTTTATAACGTTCATAATCAGGCTGTCTGAATATTATGAACTCCCTGATAGAGCAGTTAATCTCTCAGTTGATCTCACATCGTCTTCTGCAGAGTCTGGGGTTCCAACATTCCATAGATTATCCATAGCAGAATGCAAGCATGGTTTTGAATATTTTTCTGATCGGACAATATTTCAGGTAATTTAACTTTTTTGTCTGACCCCATATTAAACTTCTCCCCTGCCTCTTCCTGTTGCCACTCTCTCCTTCAGTCAGCCTGTCAGGCAGCCTATGATGGAGATCTCCATCAGCTTCATACCATCCTGAAGATGAACCCAACCATGCTGGATGTTCAGGACCAACACACTGGGGATACGCCCCTCATTGCTGCTTGTCGTCATGGTAACCTGAAAGCAGTGAAGTATCTGGTTGATAACAAGGCAAATGCCCAGCTTACCAATAAGGTGTGCCCTCATGATGATGCCAAAAAGCTAGAATACTATCAGCTGTACTGACTCTGTGTCAATGTATCCCTCAGAAACAGAGGACATGTCTTCACTATGTGTCTAAGAGGACTCTGTCTCTTTTGGATTACCTGATGATCACCATCCTGATGCCTATTCTGCTGCTGGGATACTTCCTCCTGGTAAACTTAGCCAATTAGCACTCTACTTGCAAAAAGTTAGGAGTCTGGCTTTGTTCAACTGTGGTGAAGTGCAGGCATGGCTCTGTTTAGTAAAGTCAGATGGAACTGGGTCGATTCAGTGATTTGAGGGTGAAGCCTTTTCAGTAAGATGGAGACATGTCTTGGTTCAGTGAGATGAGCTAGTGCTCAGTTCTTCTAGGTTAGGAAGAGGCAAGGCTCTTTTCAGGAATCCAAAAGACTTGAGACTTACTTGACCAAGTTCTGATGGAACCATAACACCAAACAATCTCCCTGGATTTATCTGGCAATCAGGTGCTCAGCAAAACATTCTAGATCTGAGTCAGCAAACAGGAAAATAGCATAGCAACCAAACATTAACATCATAGTAGCTGCAGAAACTGACAGAAGGCAAGAAGAACATCATTATTAAAAATAAAAATGATAAAAATGAAATCTAGGCAACATTTATCCAGAGCAGCATTACCAATATTTTAACCAGAATAACTGATTGAAAAGCTTAGAATAAATGACAGCAGTCAATGAACAGAAAACATGAACAAAAAGAGCAGAGCAATATGGTAACTAAAACTAATAAAAAACTCAGAGGGACAAAACTGACTGGTATGCTGCAAGAGTAACTCTTATTATCGCTGCATTCACCATGTCATTGATGTCTTTCAGTCTGCTTTCCGTGCTCTCCACAGAGACTGCCCTAAACAAAATCTTCAATGACATCCATGTAAACACAGTCAAAGTGCTGGTTCTGTTGGACCTCATGACCCTGTTGATCATGACATATTACTAAAACAGCTGGAGAATTGGGGAAGTCCAGAACTCAAATCTTACATAAAGAATGGGGATTTCTTTGTTTCAATATGTAACTTCTCATTGAAGCAGACAGAAGTCACATGTAGAATACCAAGGTTCAGGCCTAAAGGTTTATCATGAAAAATAATATGTAACAATAATATTTATATTGCTATTTTCACTCTGTGGTTTGTACTACAAAGTATCTGTTTTTCTTTTAGCTTAGCCAATTCAGATTTTTTTTTTCTTCAAAATTGCTGAATTTTTGCATTTTCCCATTCAAATGCTCGGAAACTGGTTCAGGTACCAATCTCAGGTCCAGTCAGCCTGTTGCAGATTTTAGCCCTGACCCTTCTTTTGTTGTTCTCCACTTTGAACAATTTTCCTCAGATTAGTTAGACAGACAATGCTCACCAAACAGAGGCTTGTCAAATTTCAACCAGATATAACTTTACCAAAACTGAGCAAAACATTTGAACAATAACTGAATAAGGAGCTCAAGACACAAAAAGCGTTCCCCAGTTCCCATGCAGTTTCACTTCATCATGTTATTGTAACTGGCCAGTTGAGAAAATTAAGGCTCTGTGCTCCTGACTTTTTTACTACATCATGTCTGACCTTTGCAGCTATTTGTTCTTGTTGCAGCTGCAGAAACAGAGAAGGAGCGTGGCACTAATGGATGTCGTGCTGAGCAGCAGAGTTAATGTCAGCACCGTTGACTATGTGAGTGAAACATGGTAAATATCAAATTGCAGCTTCTTTCTGATCACTGTCTGACAAGAATGTCTTTTCTGCTGTAGAAAGGAAACACAGCGCTGCACTATGTCTGTCAGACGAAAAATTACCATCTGGTTCCGCTGTTGTTGAAACGGAATGCCAAAACTGACATCAGGAATAAAGTATGTCCACTACTGCACCATAAACAAACATGAGCAGAGCTGGCTCTTCAGTTCTCAAGCAACTCTTCTTTTATTACAGAATTCCATATTTTAGCGTAACTTGGCAAGTAGCAATGTTTTGGATGACACTCCTCCCTATAAGAGAAGCTTAATTTTATGAACCGTAAATTCTGGACTATGAGCTGCTACTTTTTTCCCACACTTTGAACACTGCGACCGCACTAAGATGTGGCTAATGCGTGTTTTTTTTTTTTTTTTTCTTCTAATGCCGGTCATGTGGACGAGTCAGGAGAGTGCACTGCAGCCATTTTCACAGTGCTTCTGATTGACTTCAAACAACTGATATAGGTTATAACTTTCAAGCCTTCATAACATGGGAACAAATTAATTTACCAGAAAGTCTTTAATCGTGTTTATTCCTGTCTTCGTGAACAGTAAATCCTGTAAGTTTGAAAACATTTGCTCAATATTTGTCAAAGTCATGAGGGGGGAACCAAATATTTTTAGCTGCCTTAAATAACCTGTCTTCCTGTTCAAAGCTCTTTGGACGAGGAACAGATTATTTCAAGTGACTAAAATATTTAAGAAATTAAAGTGCAGATGTCAGTTAGACTCTAACAAGTGCAGTAAATGCACACGTAGCTTCACCTTTCCAATTAATCACATATCAGATGACAAACGCCAAATAGACACATATATATTATATTATATATATATATATATATATATATATATATATATATATATATATATATATATATATATATATATATATATATATATATATATATGTATATATATATATGTATATATATGTGTGTGTGTGTGTGTGTGTGTGTGAATGTTGCCTACTGTTTCTTTAATTATCAGTTTCATACAGTTGATCTGTTTCATATGTATGCTTATGCTGTTTCCCAGGATGGAGAAACTCCGCTGGACATTGCCAACCGGCTGAAGTTCACAAAGATTGTTAATATGCTTAGAAAGACAAACTGAACTGATTGACACCCAACAGCATCATCATTAGAGGACAGACTGATCCATGATGCTGAAGAAGAGACACTGATCCCAAACTCTGCTAAACTAGCCTTGGACACTTGGTGTTTTAAGCTAAAAGGAGGTTTCTATTTTAGGCTAGCTTGGCTAACATTACTGTACTAAGCTTGGTAAATTCTTTCTGTGGTGTGCTAACCCTGACCCTAGGCTAATAGTTTTTGTATTAAATTAAGCTAAATGTATCTGCTCAAAAACAGGCTAATAGAATCATTGAGCTTTCTTTCTTCTTGGATGGTGGGGACAATAGTAGGAGGTTGTTCAGCATTCCTACTCTGTCCACTTCTGTTGTGTCCTTGGGAAGGACACTTAACATACCTGCCTGCTGGTGGATGCCAGAGGGCTCAGTGGCGTCACTGCATGGCAGCCTCACCTCTGTCAGTGCAGCTGTGGGATTCATCAGCAAGTATGCGTGAATGGGTGAATGGCTGAATGTTGTGTGAATTGCTATCGAGTTCTGTGGGTTTAATAAGGCACTATGCTAGTACAGGCTATTTACCATTTGGCTGTTGCATTTTTCTAAGTTTCTCTGGAGAATTTATCTAAACAAAGAGGAGGTAATTATGCCATTTCATTCCAGTGTTTTGTACCTGTGACATATCTAAAAACTGCTGGACAGTGGCCCTTGAGGACTGGAGTTTGACACCCCTGATGTAAGTCCTTTTAGGCTAAAAGCTGTTCTTATTGTCTACCATCAGTTATTATCATAGATGCTGAGATAGACTAGCGGTTAATGTCTTTGTACCACTAACTAAACACTAACTAAAAGCCTTAAAACAATCATAAACATTAGTTCCACTAGCAACTTTTTTTTTATAACTTTGACCAAGTTGATATTCACCAGGTGTCAATTACACAACATATGCTACAACATATGTTGTGGAATCACTTCAAACAGGGTCAAATTTGTCTCCACATGCTTACTGTCATGGATTGTGATTTAGAATTTTTTTTTTTGGAACAGACCTTTTATATAATTCCAACTTTTTAGTTATTGAGTATTGCTCCTAATCTGACTGCCTAATTAAACACAGTAGAGCTTCAATCAGAAAGCATGCAGGACATCAGTTGATGTTATACTGGCATTAGCACAACTACAGGCTTTAGATCTACTGCAATGCATTCTGGGCACAAAGTAATTATCATTTGCTGCACAGCATCAGAGTATTTGTTATGAGGTTGTTATGCCATGATATTCTGGAATAATATAACAAACATTTTTCATTGAAAAAAAATCATCATGTTGGGTTTTTTTGTAATGGAAAATGTGGCCATTCCAAATGAACATACATAACTTTCAGATGTTGACTTCTTTTTCTTTTCTTTTTTTTTTTACAGTAAATATTAAATTCCTTCAAACACCAGAAACAAAAACCTAATTTCCAGATTTTCTTATCTTCTATTTAAATCTACAATCTATCTATATAGATAGATAGATAGATAGATAGATAGATATATAGATTGATAGATAGATAGATAGACAGACAGACAGATATAGATCGATAGATAGATATGGTAAATGGACTGAACTTAAATAGCGCTTTTCCAGTCATTTTGACCACTCAAAGCACTTTACACTAGAGTCACATTCACTCATTCGCACTCACAAACGCACACACATTCATACACCAATACGAAGACCAGTAGCCAATTTGAGGTTAAGTGCCTTGCCAAGAGGCACATCGACAAGCTGGAATCGAACCTGCAACCGACCGTTTGCAAGACCAGTCTGCCAGACAGCCACAGTCGCCTTGATAGATATCTATATATGATATGTATATATATATATATATATATATATATACATATATTCATTCCAGTGTTTTGTACCTGTGACATATCTAAAAACTGCTGGACAGTGGCCCAGCACTAGATATATGATATCATATATAGATATATATAGATATCTATATATAGATATATTTGAAGGAATATATATATATATGTATATATTTCGTCAAATATATTTATATATAGACCCTGCAGATATGTATATCTATATAGATATAGAAAGATATATATATCTATCTATATATATACATCTATATACTAACTAAACTAAAAGAAATTGTCACCTTCTGTTTTTATGGAAATAACGTAAAATAAATTTGACTTTGCATCTTGATTGTATTTGACATCTTGAAATTGATCTGTTTTCTTAAAAAGACTTTTCTAATACCGCTTCTTCAAGACATCCTCACAACAATGATGCTATTTACAACCATTTTAAAGAGCATTGGACAGAGAAATAGTTTATTATGATAAGCAGATGCATAGTTCCAGCATGTGTTTGCTAAGCACTTGGTAAAACTGATATTTAGAATTGGAGTCTTTGAAGAGCAGGGTGGCTTTGGCATTTAAACTTGATTTTAAGTAATTCTAAAGCACCAATGTAATTTTGATGTAACATGTCTATAATACCCTTCCCAAACAAAAAGGCATGGATAGGAAATCAAAGCAAAAGCTGCAGGGTCTATAGCTCGAGATTATGAACCTCTCAGTTTCACTTCACTGTTTTCAAACTTAGCAAACCCACAACCAGAATATGTTAAATTTTATGTTAATGGATCACTATGATTATAAAGCTGTTCAGCTTTTGTCCTCACCTTTTCTGAAGAAAGCCACTGGGTCATTCAGCATGTTGAAATTAAGCCCAAAACTCATCTCAGCCGTCTTTAATCAGCTAAATGCTAGTTGAATACAAGAAGTTCAGTTAGGACTTTAATGATGCAAAGACAGAGATAGGAGACAGAAAATTGATGGATGGATGGGTTTTGTGTAACTGATCATTTACAAGAAAACTAAACTCTGCTTATTGTTCAGTGGTTCTAGAGCCTAGTCCCACTTCAGATACCACAGAACATATGACAGCTATAGCATGTGTTTGAAGAAATGTAGACACGAGTTAAAACATATCTGAACTCAAATTGAGACATTCTACTGCTGTTTTTTTTTTTTAAAAGTCTACTCATTTCCTTCTGAAAACATTAAAAACACATTCCTGATTAAACCTGGTTGCTGGACCTTCATTCCATACATCCTGAACTTGGTGGTCCCCAAGAGGAATGATGTGTCCTTTGCGTCACTAGTGATGTTCCTGCAGCAGCTTCAAAATGGAGGGAAACATAATTTGAGGTGCATCCAGTCCCCAGATGAAATCCAGATGTTCCCAGTGTTCGATGTGCTGATGGTAGACGAGGTTGGACACCTGCAGTGAGATAAAGTTTTACTCATCTCTGCAAACAAAGACCTGCAGAAGAAGGTCATTTAAAATTTGAGAAAAGCTTGAAGAACACTGATTCAATTTGGGCCAACTAACTCTAAATAAACATATACCTAAGACCTTTACAATGAAGAACTAGTGGACAAATCAAGGGCTTTTATGATAAACAAATCTGTGACTTTAATTCAGTCTTTCTCAAGCTAGTATGATGTTTCGAACCCCAGAACTGGCTTGATGATGAAGAAGGTGTTGCAGCAGGAAGAGGAGGTTGATTGACGAAGGAAGAGGTCTCTGTTGGTCTGATGAGCTGTCATCTCTGCATCCATGGTGAGGTCACACGGGACCTGAGTCTTTATCTTCATTTTTGTCTTTGGGGTCTGAACCCAGCTGGTAAGAGAAGTGTGATTTGAAACCACATGTTGCGGTGCTGACGGATTGGTCCCCATGTGCAGGACAGTCTTCGGCTCTGTGGCCCCGGCTCTTCTTCAGCTGCAGAGTTCTTTGTCCATCTTGGTCTTGGCTCAAAGCTGCCTGGAGGATCCAACCAAAGATTCCTCTTTTGCTCTCACCTTTTATCGGGTTTATCCATCCTTTTGGTGTATTTGCATTGGCTAACACTGTTGCTGTGCTTGTTTCATTGGCTGACAGCTTGGACAGATGATCTCATATCCATCACTGTCTTAGAGACATTATGTCCTCATGTCTGTGCTAATGTCTCAAGGTTGCTCAATGTTCCTCCCATGTCTTTTCTTTGAAATTTTTAAGTTGTTCCACAATCTATCTCCAAATAAGGCATTGGTCATCACTGCTCTCCCATTAGTCCCCATTTTACCCCTAACCTTTCACCTACTGTCCACCTCAAACACTTCAGTGATCTTTAATTGCAGTTACACGTTTTACAACATTTCAAGTTCAATGTCAAAATCACATTCATAACCCTTTTAGTTTCTTTGGTTTAGCATTCATTTATAATTTTATGATAACCACAACTTATTACTCTTATTATAATTGTAATGTGACTTACTTACACTTACGTAATGTGTAATGTGTAAAAGCAAAACAGGATGCACACGGGTGTGTACTACCTGTGTTTCATGACGGTGTTGAAATAGAATTTTAAATTAGCACAATAGTACACAGGCTAACCTTTACGTTAAGACAAACTTAGATAAAGATCCAAACTAAAACAACTGTTCACTCTCTGAACTTGTATAAATTCCATAGGGAGTATTCCACAGAAAAGACAGGCCTAGACTCCTTAACTGATCCATAGACATGGAGTCTGTCTGCCAGGCAGTTAACAAATTCCTTAGTGTGGTTCAAAAGTTCACTAGGATCTTAAAACTTTTTATAAATAATTTTATCCATACTAGAATTAAATATATTTCTTTAAGCATGTTTTGAATTAGTTACTTCTTAGATCCAAACTTATAGTCATTTTTTAGCATTAGATTTTGTAAAACACAAAGACGTTCTAATTCAATCACTGAGGCAGAAAACCAAAACAGGCACAGGTCGTAAATTTTCGCCGAGGGAGGGTTTGCAGGAGACGCCTGGTACGCCAAAGACCCAGTTTGACAATCCATATATCTGCCTTTGGGGCTCTTTAGCACGAGATAATAAAATTAACATTAAGACAGCCCCCACAAAGAAAAAACACACCTCCTAATGCATATATTTAAATTTAGAGAAAGGCACAGGCTTATAAAAGTTTTCGTTTGCAACAAAGAATTCGAATTGCTTTCTGCCCGAGTTCGCAATTTCTGGAAAAATGCATTTTTCTGCCTTTACTTTCAACTCGTGTAATTGTTTCTGTTTTGTCATGTCTTGGACTTTTGATAATCTAGGTGAGATGCTTATTGTAACATTCTTCTTGCATTGATTTTCTCTGGATAAAACTCTGGATATCTGAAGTCTGATGCCGTATGATTGTTCTTTCTCCCTGCGCATATTGAGGCTCAAGAATCCGGGATCAGAGAGGAATTAACGAGCAAAATCAAGTTATTCCTCTTTTTTATTCTTTTTTTTTAACATTTAACTTTTTATTGAAAATTTTTTACATTTATTTACATATACAATGAACTTGAACACATCACATCCACCTCTACCAAAAATAAAAATAAACCAAAACTGTTGCTCGGGAGCTTGTACTCATTATTACCTTATTGTCTTTCGTTTTCATAGGCCTTTATCCACTTTTGCCGCTCTCTGTTGTCCTGAATATAGTCCATTTTGTCCATTTTTCTTCCATTTGTGTTTGTTGCAGTCTCAATCTGTGTGTTAGTTTTTCTATGATATAAATTTCTTCCACTATTCCAGTCCATTGTTCTTGGCACGGGGGGTCCTCTTTCCCCCACTTCCTCGTGATCGCTTTCTTACCCGCTATCAAAAGAATCTTAATCAGGTATCTATCTTTTACCCTAATCTTGGTGTTATTAAAATTACATAGATATAATACCATGCTACTATATCCCAGTATACTCTTCACAGATACATAAACATTTTTCCAGAATGTAACAATTTTTGGACAGCTCCAAAATATGTGCGAGTGATCCGCATTCATCATTCCACATTTTCTCCAGCACCCTGCGCTTGAATCACTATATTGATTCTTGATTTTAGGCGTGATGAAAAAACGTATGAGGTTCTTCCATGCAAACTCCCTCCATATCCGTGAATTAGTAGATGTCTGTTGCGTTTTCCACATATCTAGCCAGTCTTTATCCGTAATTGTCATATTAAACTCTGATTCCCATTTCTCTTTAATATACTTTGTAGAGTGCTTGTTCATTAGTTTTTGGTATAGTGTAGAGATGGTTTTCATTTTAGTACCTTTAATAGAATTAAGTACCACTCCAATCACATCATTCCTTTCCTGCTTAGTATCCCATTTGCTTTCTGTCCTATAGTAGTCTCTCATTTGCAAGTACCTGTAGAACTCATGTTTATCTAGGTTATACTTGTCCTTCATTTTTTGAAAGCTCAACAGCTCACTATTTTCCTGGAGGGTATACCATCCCGTAATCCCCTTCCCTATCCATTGTTTGAATCCTTTATCATATTCTAATGGTTTAAAATCACTGTCGTATGCTATCCATCTAAGCACTTTCATTTCTTTCTTTATTTTGTGTTTTTTCAATGTTTTGAACCATATTTCCAATGTAAAATTAGTGATCGGATCTATATATTTCTTGATCTTCTCATATCTATCCTCATCTCCAATAACACTCTCAATTGGACATCCTCCAAACTCTTTCTCCATGTCTTTCCACCTTGCTGAGTAGTCCGGCGAGCACCAACACACAACATGCCTGAGCTGTGCTGCCCAGAAGTACTCTCTCAGTCTTGGTAGGCCCATACCCCCTTTGTCTTTCGGTAGCTGTAACGTTTCATATTTAACTCTGGGTTTTTTGCCCCCCCAGATGAATCTTGATAAAATCTTGTCCCAGATATCAAATTGAGTTTGACTCACCTCAATCGGTAATGCCTGGAACAGATATACAAATTTCGCTTGCAAATTTCGCTTGCACATAATTTCGATTCTCGAGTTCAAATCCAATGGTAAAGTATTCCATCTATCTATATCTTTTTGTAATTCTTGGGTTATTTTACTATAATTCGCTTTAAACAATGTAGATAGTTCTTTAGTAATATTGATTCCTAGATATTTTATTTCTTTCGTGTTCCATTTAATGGGAAAAGCTTCCTGTATTTCTTTTGATGGATTATAGTTGAGTGTTAGTGTCTGTGTTTTGCTTACATTAATTTTGTATCCTGAAAGATTTTCATACTTTCTAAACAGGTCCATCAAAACTGGCAGCGATCTATTTGGCTGTTCAAGGAAGGTTATTATATCATCTGCAAAAAGTCCTATTTTATGTTCTTCACCATTTACTGTAACGCCTTTGATTCTTTCATCTTGACGAACTGCCTGTGCCAAAGGTTCTACAAAAAGTGCAAATAGAGTAGGTGATAAGCAGCACCCTTGTCTGGTTGATCTTTGTATGTTAAATTTATCAGTCAGACTTCCATTTATTTTTATTCTCGCTGTAGGTTGATGGTATAATGCTTTTATACTCAATATCGATTTATTGTTGAATCCAAATCGTTCTATCACCCTATATAGAAAAGTCCAATTCACCAAATCGAATGCTTTTTCTGCATCGACACTTACTAATATGGTACTTTGTTTTTTCTGTTGCGCTTGATCCACTATATGCAATACTCTTCTAATATTATCGTGAGTTTGTCGTCCTCTCATAAATCCTGTTTGATCCTCCTCTATCAATTCTGTTACTAATTTATTTAATCTAGCAGAGATAATGGATGTGTAAATCTTATAGTCCACATTCAACAGTGAAATTGGTCTATAACTACTACATTGTTCATTATCTTTCCCTTGTTTTGGTATGACTGTAATTATAGCTTCTCTCCATGAAGGAGGTATTTTATTATTATTAAG